TTAACCATGGAATGCGAGTTCTTAGAGAAGTTTCATTAAATTAACGATCTATGTGATTACTCTGGTTGGCTCTGTGGCTTAGGAAACTCAGCAGGATAGGAAGGAAAATGAATTCGAATTCCAATCGTCAATTAAAGTCTTGCCAAGTTTCTTGCCTACTCGAGATACCTTAATGATTCGATTATTAAGACATCGGTGAACAGAATTATTGCGCTAAACGTTCGCTAATTTTCTTTTTTTATATTTCAATACTTTGCTGTTTGAAACGAAAAATGTACTATCGATATTTATTGCATTATTTTTCATTGAAATATACTGTTGAAAATATAATAGTAATGATATATTATTATAATATTATTAAGAGTATATGAAAGAAATATCAATTACCCAGGTATTAATCTTTTCTCTTTCCAACTCGCTTTACGCTTGTTTCACGTGCCGAAATATCGTAGGGCCTTGGGCTCTTTTAGTCGAGGGTGGACTTAATAAACCGAGTGGACCACCCGCATTTCGACATCACGAACCTGTCCAAAAGAGACAATTTGACTGACATTTATAGCAAAACCATGGAGATTGAAATTTAACGTGGCCAACCTCGCGTTCATGATATGCCAGAAACGTTTTACTACTCTATACAGATATATAAACACTATCATTGTGCAATATCGTCCTTCTCCTATTTATTCGAAAATGTTACAATTTCTTTTCGACGCACAATGGCTAAAATACGTCGCGTTAATTCATCGACCAACCGAATATTACGCTAATTTTTTCCCGATTAAAATGTTGACGCAATCAGGCTTACCGGTGATTACGATTTCAGTTTTATTACAACATTCTATATAAAATTGCACGATCAGAAACGGAGATGGCAAGTGAAGAAGAAGAAGAAGAAGAACAAGAAGAAGAAGAAGAAGAAGATGAAAAGAGAATTGGATCAGTGGATCCTCTCAGCAAGTTTTGGTCCTGATCGTCGTCGCGAGGAGACCCTTTGAAGAGGTTTCGAAGTTTATGCGTGCCTGTTTACCACCCGGTAAATGTTATGCTCGAGTCATAACGTATATCTTGGAGGGCTCCGAGTCCCGTACGGGACGACCATTAGCCGCATTCAATCACCATTACACGCTCGCGCGCTTTCTGCGCCTGCTTGCCCCTTAAATCCTTGCCTCCATGCCGACAAAAATATCTCTGAGCGAACGAACGAACGAACGAACGAACCAAGCGATGAAGAAAACGATCCTTGCGATGCTAACCACATAAACTATGCTCCTTTGTGCTTAGCGACAATCCAAAAAACAAACTTTTCCTTTTAACTAAATCGATTTCTATCATCCGCAACCATTTCTTTTTTAATAAACTTAAAAACTACGATGAATGATTTTTTTCTAACAATTGGTATTTAGAAAAAAAAAAGGATCATTTTTTGAGACTACAATGTAAATTTGAAGTTGATAATAAAATGAATGAGTATTCGAAGAAGAAGGAAGAAGGCCTTTGACCTCTTGGAAAGAACGATTTAATTCGCGATCGATCGTGCAGTAAGCAAAGATGAGATGCAGAGTCTGCATCTGAAGAGAAAAAGTAAGAGACTGCCGGTTATACCAACGGGCAGACCATCATTGAAGTATTTCGGACGGGTGGGCCCGCCGGATTCCCGAGCTTCTTTCTCGGAGAAGCCCTCGGGCCCATCGTAGTTCCCAGGAGTGTCAGAGGTCGCAAGGCACTCCTCCACCTTATTCCTTTTCTCCCCCTCCCTACTCGGCACAGCCCTTCTTACCATCGCCACTCTCACGAACCATTCGACCGAGATGTGCAATTCTCTCCTTGCTCTTTCCTTAAGTATTATTTAGTTTATTTACCAATATATTCATCGTTCGTTCAACACAAATATTTCAACAATTGTTTTAATCTATGACAACAAAGTATTGGCTATTATAATATGTTAGAACTTTGTTTAATGTTAAATCCTCGTGCAACCCTCTACCCCTATTGCAAATATCAATAAATTGTTTCGTTATTTGTGCTGACCAAAAAGACAAAAGAAAAGAAACATTGAATGCACAGTGCTATGGTAACCCTAAATTAAAATATACATCTTGCATCATATCAACACCATATCATTGTTATATAAAATATCTCAAAGTTATTGCGTAAGGAATTGGCAGATAAATTACGGGTCGACCTTTGACACGAGTGGATAATGGTGGAAAAGGGAGAAAGATCGGTCTTGGAAAGTACGAGCTCGTGGTCGGCCCTTCTTCTTCTCCTCTTCATCTTCTTTTTTTCTTCTTCTTCTTCTTCTTGTTCTTCTTCTTGTTCTTCTTCTTGTTCTTCTTCTTGTTCTTCTTGTTCGTGTACACGTCTCTCGATATACCCAAGAGTTAGGAGGCGCAGTTATTACGATTGGCCGGGTCGTTTTCGCGGGAAGCATGGACCAATCGAAGCAACGCCAAGGATCCAGCCTCTCTTCTCCTCTTTCTTACTCTTATTCCCATCGTCTCTCCTAGAGTACTTGCTGCGAACGAGCATGCTCCCGCCTTTAGTCTAGTCAGAGAGCTGCACCTGTGAGATAAGCTGTAGTACTTACACCTCTATCGTCTTACTTTACGCTCGACACACGCATACACCTTTTTTATGAATTCCTCTATTCGAGTTTTACTAAATGATCTCTATCGGTGGTATCCTGGAAGTGTGAATATCTGTGTTAAACGATCGAATCCAATAATCAACGTTCTATTCGTTCAAATGTGCTGATGATATTAATATCCGTGAGCGTGGATGTTTCGAAAAAGTGTTTGAATTTTGTGTGTTTTTGCTTTTTTTCTTGAATGACAGTAAAAACCAATGAAAATATTCGATAAAACGCGAACGATAGTTATCAGATAAGAGAAACGTGTCTTTCTACTCGTTAACTCCAAAGGGACAAGCAACTGTCATATGTCCATAGGTCATTAATCAACGTGGTAACGGTGATTATCCGTTAAATGTTAATGAGTTTCCAAGAGATGGTATAGTACCTTCAACAAGATCATTGATCATCGGAGGAAAGAACTAGAAGCGCCATTCCCCAGGTAACCTTCTTTTTCACCTGAAACGTTGATTTAGATGTTCCCGCGATGAAGCTTCGGAGCATCTAGCACGCGTAAGGAAATCTAAAGACTTTGAACAAAATTCCATTCTTAAAAATGTCCTAATTAATGAGACGAAAAAAGAAATAATAAATAAACAATCATTAAGATTTGCAAAAAGAATTGTCGTCTTTTCGAAATAGAAATAAAGGAAGGGGAAAAAGTAACGATCTAATCAGTGATTTTAGCGATCATCATCGATCATGTTTTTGTCGAGACTAGTCGTCTTCTTCTTCTTCTCTTTCCACAAATAGTTCTTGATATTTACCACGAAAGGAAAGTAGTTTGGCGTATCATGGAGATCGCACAGTAGCACGTGGAAGGTTTGCACGTGCGTGCTAAGCTTATAGTCTGGTGGTGGTCTCTCGCATGTACATGCGCTTAGTATGGTCTCCCAACCGAACGACAGAGGAGGAACTTCCAACTCCGTCTACGCTCGTAACTCTTTTATAGAACCCGTGTCAAATTGCCGTCCATTATGTTTTATGGCAGCGCGAAATGTAAGAGCAACGTTGAAGGACCGTGTTAGAACACGGAAGTTTCTTCAAAATCTTTTTTCCTCTTTCTCTGACATACTAGAAGAAAATTATAATGGTTGAACTTTTGTTGAAAATATTAACACGACCTTTCGATATATATTCCTTATTCAGAAATAAGTCGTCAAAGGATTAACTAAATGTTCTCATAGCAATTTTCATCTCGTTCCATACCCTTTTTTTTCTTTTTTCTCCTTTCCCATGGGACCCCTATGGGCATTCCATGAAGCGAGTAAACGAGTAAATTTGTAGGTAGAATGGTTGCCTCCAATACACGATCAAATCCCATAAGTCACGAACTCGAATACTGTGTTTAACCTGTGCGAGCCCATCTTCGTCCATTATCCTTCGCGTTCGGCTGCGATGAACACCGCGTATCTTAAATATTTCGCCAACACTCACGCCCTTTCTCTTCTGCACTGAGCCAATATTATCCCGAGGGATGCCAACAGATCGATACTTGCCCGAGGATAAAGTAATTGCCCATTATTTCGTCGACTTTGACGAATTTGCTCGTTGGATATGATACCAGCCTTTATTTCTCTTCTTCCTTTATAAATCTTAACTTCTTTATATATATATATATATGTGGCATTATATTATATGGCACATTATATTATATTTATTAAGTATCGTCACTTTTCATTTTTATTCGAAAATCATTCGAAAATCGTATATGGCAGACGATATATTATTATATCTCGTAGATACTCTAACAGAGTGGAATAATCAACTCAGTGACTATATATGAACCTATTAATCATGAGTATATCTATCGATAGATCAAAGGACCGCGATTTTCCATATACGACTTCTCTCGAGTCACTTTGCCCGATCATCTTTTTGATATATATAATTTCTTCTTTTTCTTATTTTCTTTCGCAAACGAGTTACTCCGAAGGTACCAGATCGAAATTAATAACCATCCCGATGAGATTCTATCCAGATCGTGATGCGTCTTGCACAGGAAATCCTGTCTCCGTAAGAGGAGATCAGCACGTTGTAGGATTATACGGTATATGTTGGAGAAGAAGGACTATGTTATGTAAGAGAAACCAAGAGAGAGAGAGAGAGAGAGAGAGAGAGATAAGAAACGTGAAAGGTAAAAAAGCAGTAGCGACGAGTTTTGTTGGCCACGCGCGCTTCGATCAATGCGTAGACGTTAAACAGCTGCCACGATCTATGAACGATACTGATCATTTTAATTAAATCTGACTCGATTGAGTCCGCTCGTATTAATAAACGTCATCCTTCTGTCACCTATGCGTTTCGATAGACTTTAAATACTCGAAATACTACTATTATGAAATTTTAGTTTGTTTGAATTATGTTGCAGGAGACTTGAAGAGGCGACACTCTTGGAACAGCGAAGCGGATTATCAATCGATCGAAGCTGGAGTTGAAACGATTTCAGGAGAAGAAGCCGAACTTTCATCCCCCGAAAACGACGATAGGATTTCTTATAAGGTATATTTAGTGTCTTATAAAGAATAATCACTCGTCATGTGCATTTGAGAGATATGATAGGAAGGGGACTCGAAGTTATGCTAAAGAGCAAAGGGCACGTAACCGAAATTACATTTCGCGTGTACGAGTATACAGAGTTTGGAAAGGAGGAGGAAGAAGAAGGATGTATAACGGCCGCGACGCAACGGTGCATTTCATTTTACTACTTTAGCCAGACAGAAACGTGGACCGTAAAACCTGAATACTGCAGCCGTGTTTTAACGATGACCACCGCTGTAGAAATCATCCTCGTCGTTCTTACCACAGATGACCGACAATGATCGCGAAACATTTTCACTTACACGTACACATTTCCTTCCGTGTATGTTCAGATTCCATGCAAAAATTTCATCAAATAGAATTATTATTATTTAGGGTTCCTCGAATTTTCACCTAGGGAAAGAAATGAAACACCGTTCTTGACATAGAAAATAGTTGTTTGCCGTAATTAGATCTCTGAAAGTCTACCTTTATATCTGCTTACTCGGAATTCGAGTACATATACTTACTCACGAGTAAAAGAAAATTGTCGAAAGAAACTGACCAAGAATATTCCAGTGGGATATTTTTATAAGACGTAACGAGCGCGTACGTATGTACGCCGTTTATGTTCTCTGTTCCTTCCTTAGTTCTTCGTATTTCTCCATCGTCCATTCTTTTCCCTACCAACAATCCCTAGTCTTGCTTACGATTCGTCGACTTCTTCAAATTATTGAAAATTATACCTCGTCCTGCAATTTTTTCAACAACCCAAAGTAATTGAACGAATCAGTTTCATAATCATTGTCTTCTAGATTTTAGCAAATTATTGGCTTGGTCAACGAGTAATGTCAACATTTTCGAATGAAACAAATACCGGCATATGTTGTTTTCCCCAACACTACTGCAACCCAATATCATCGACGAAACATTATGATTCAAATTCGAATCTAGAATGATTACGAAATAATGATTATAAATATTTGTCGAGTACGCAAAATATCTTCGTCAACCTAATAACCCCGACTTAATCTTATTCGATAATGTAAAATAAATTGCTGAATAATTATCTAATCCTGTTTCACAAGTATAACGGAAAATGTAATCGAAGAAGAGTCGGCAAGGAAAATATTGTAACGGTTTTAAAATGATGCATGTGTGCATTCATGCTACTGTTAATTTACGTTGAAGGAAATGTGCGAAGCTGTAAAATAATAAATAAAAGAGAGAAGTTAGTAAGAGAGGAGTAGTAGGTCTACTACCTTTCTACCTACACTTCGTTGCTAATTCGCAGATTCACTGAATTCTCTTCTCGAGCTCTAAATCAAATTCGTGCGACCGGGCTTACGATCGTTAATTGCTGGATGAGAGAGAGAGAGAGAGAGAGAGAGAGAGAGAGAGAGAGAGAGGGGGGGAGAAAAAAAGCTCCCGCGCGCAAGTCCACTCACACATTTTATGGCACCGGAAAATCAGTCTTGGTTTTACCGTTAAGTTTATGCGACTCGCCTATAAGAACGCATACACGAAAGAGCATAAACGCGTAAACTGACGGTAGTAATCGTTCCTTCTTCCACAGATCTTCTTCTTTTCCTCTTTTTCTTGAAGCAGCTTTCATTATTTTTTTACGAGCTCGCAAAACGTTCCTTCTTCTATTTTATTATTCTTCTCTGCTTTAGGAGAATTACAACTTTAATACAAATCGAGAAACGTAACGATATTTTATTTGGTATAAATAAAAAAAAGAAAAGTAAATAAGACTCGCGAGTATATAGAAAACCTTTTGTGAGAGAATAAGAAAGAGAAAGGGTGTAATTCTTCAGGTTGGAAATCTCTTGAAAGGGTCAGAGAAGTTAAATGCTCTGGGAGAAAGATTTACGGATCACGAACATAGAATGAGATAGAAAGAGGGAGGGTGGAAGGGAGGGAGGGAGAAAGAGTAGAATGAAATTACAGTGAATTTCAAGCTTTAATCCGATCGTTCCTTTAACTCGATTGACGTTGCAATTGGAGGCTTTTTTTTCCTCGATCGTAACGACGAAAATCGTCATTTTCTTCTCTCTCACTCTCTCCGTTGAATTTTTGCAAGAAAAAGCACTGCACTGTAAACTATTGAACTTGCAAATGAAATGAAATAATAATAAAAAATAAAACGATAATTCATTTGATTTAGTTTTCATTGGACTTGGAATTATTGGATTCGCGTGTAAAAGGAAAAAAAAGCAGAGACGGAATAAAGCATTTGAGAGATGATGAAGGACGAAGAATAACGAGGACATTAAAATCGATATATCGTTTGGATCGAAGTGCCTCGAGGTCTTTCTCGAGCATATTTCAATAACGTCCCGAACGAGATCCTTTTTCGCCATGATTCATACTATGCTCCATTATGATGCATTAGCACAGAGTTATTACGAATGCTCGTGACAGTCATTGATGGCCCTTGACGGGACGACCGGTAGGCCGAATATAAAAGAGATGAACGTTCCTTCGACTCATCAGCGAATTCGTGTCTGCGAGATGCCGAAACTTCTTCACGGTCATTACTACTGCAATTTGTCAGAACGCTTTTAAAAAGTATATCAGTGACGATAACGATTTGGAATCGAAGCAACAAACAGGGAGACAGAGAGAAAGAAGGAGAATATCGATTGATTCGAATATCATTCGTGAAATAGTAAGAAATTTCAATTGACACCAACGTACACTTATGATGTTTCTTTCAATATTTTGACTTGACAAATGTCACAATACTTATCTCCTTTTAAAAGAGAAAATTATTGTCAAGAAAAGTACAATTCGCTAGTGTTAGACGAATCAATTTTGGCCAAAATTATGAACAAATTGATGAACAAATTGATGAACAAATTGATGAAATATTCTATATAGGTATAAGATTTAAGGTATTGCAACAACATTGGAGGACCCTTGGAGTTTCACGTTCCAGGGAAATTGATACGCGCGTACGAACGCGTTGCGAGATAAGATCGGTCAGCCTTGAGCGAGAACCTAAACTAATGCCTCGTGCACAGTGGCGCACGAGATAGATATCTTGAGAATTTCATTAGCATGATCCAAGCTTGCCAAGCTCCTCTTCTTCTCTGAATCTTTTCTATCTCTCTCCCCCCTCCCTTTTTATCTTTTTCTTACATCTATCCTTTTCTCTGTCCTTTTAACTTGTCACCTGGGGCTCCTTCTCGCCATGTGTTTTTCATCCTACAAAAACAATCTAATATCTTTACCACCGAACAAAAACAATATTTTATTATAAGTAGTATAAGGTATAAGAAATTATATTTAATTTAATAATCATGATGTAATTCTGATTACTACACGAACACGTTTATCTTTTTTTTTGTTCAATCCCGATCGTGTATTTTATTAAATAAAATCTAACGAATTTCTATGGGGGAAATCTTTCAACGCCGTAACAAGTAACCTTATTACATAGGATAATATCATAAACTATTTCACATGTGGGGAGGCTCAAAGCGAGATCCTATGAATTATTACACCATTAGCGTATGTAATCGTATCCCGAGGAAAATTATACAGCAATTTGTCTCAAGTTGATCGAATCTGTCGAGGAAATTTCTTCTTCTTCTTTTTATTTTTGTATTTTCTCTCTCTCTCTCTCTCTCTCTCTCTCTCTCTCTCTCTCGCACTTATTTCTCGAAAGCTAACGTAAAGGAGAAAACGCCCGAAGGAAATAGAAGCGTACGAAGTATTTACCACTTCGAAGCTATAAATATATAAAAGATGGTGAAAAAAAGACATTTTCAAACAGATATGACATAAAACGGATTAAAACGTTCTTCTTCCTACATTGCTCAAATATATCGATATTCCATAATTACAGTTTCGATCCGATCAGTCTCTAATTTATCGCTCGTTCGACACGTCATTAAATATCATCGGTGATCAAATTTATGTTGAATTTAAAGTCAAATTATTTCTGATATAAATATCACCCATTAGCGGATAATTTGATTTTGTTGAAAAGAAAATTCGTGAGAATTATTTTACGTAGGTGTATATTTTTGACTGAATTTTGTATCTTAAGATCGATGGAAAATATGTGTCGTGCCGCGTCGAACGAATACAATTTTATAGAAAGTCATCGTAAGAATCGAGGACGCTTGAGAAAGTTTCTCAATAAGTAAATGTCCAAATTTTCAATATAAAAAATAGCAGTGTTACTTATTTAAATGTGAAACATTATTGAGAAAGGAAATAATGAAAAGATGAATAAATTGTAGGAGTCGCGGTAGCTCTTTTTGTCATACTATTTCAAATATTTCTATATAATATTTATTTAAGTAAGTCACAGGTAATAACGAGGATCGTAAATTTTCCTAACATTTTCCTTAACGAAGCACGAACGTAATAGACACGCAAATAATTCTATTTCTTGTTCACGGTCCGTAACCAATTGACCTCTCGGTTCTATTAAATATCTCTCATAAGAGAGAATATTTTAATGATCAATGCAATTTCGCATAAAGAATTTTTTCTATTCTTCTTTCTCTTTCCCCTGGTAATCCTAACCGATTTATCGGGAGAATTTATTCTATTGGTCACCGAGCGAATCCCATGATCACGGAAGTGCAATTTACTCTCTACGCGAACGATTTCTATCGGGGATACTACGTACACCAACGAAACTGTTGGTGCAAGCACCTTCACCAACGAGCTATCCAAGAATTCCAGTGCACTTTAACACGCTCACACAGAGAAAATCTTTGACTATAGTTATTCAACTTGAGAATGACAAAGTTCGCAAACATTTTTCTCTTATAAAAAATCTCTCAAAATTACAGACCATTCAATTTCAATAATAATATTTCTATCCTACTTCAAAAATAATTCTTGCTGTTGCGTTCTCTGTGTACACATATAATATCAATAATTCTTAATCATTCGTCGATTGTGAAATGTTCACTTCTTCAGTAGTGTATACCAATAATGAATCAAACGAGACGAATTATCGACAAGTTTCCATTTTGACTTGAGAATGATTGAGAAATATTTGAAATTTTTCTTCGTAATATTTTATAGACGAGTCATTTAATCACATGCTTAAGAATACATGAGTAATATGAATAATGTTGATTTATACTGATTGAACATAACGCGAAGTACCTTTTCGTCATAGCATATGTTCCTTTGATAATTCAATTAACGTCAGAGATGAGGATACCGTTTTAACAAATGATTCTCGAAAGTCTCATTAAGTCGAATGAAATAAAGGAAAGTTTGACATATTCGTGATTGTCCTACTCGGTGATGAATTATCAAACGACAAGTAAGAAAAATAAGTCATTAAGGTGGACTAATATCGTCGTATTTCGAGAGAGGATATCAACAAAAATAGAAAGCTAACGCAAAAATTTGATATAACCGATCATTAGAGTAAAATATGAAAAAGAAAGAAATGCAATATTTTTATTTTGCGAAAGAAATGTCCAATTTTCGGGGGAATATTTCATACGTGACATAATGAGTCCAATCGCGTCGAAAAGAGTCAACTATAATCTTACGATTTCGTGTACCACGAAAAATTCCAAGATGATTGCTATTCTTTCTCTCCTTCTCTCTTCCTCTTTTTTTTTTCTTTGACATGCGTGAAAACATATCCTATATTACTTGCACGGATCTTTTGAATTTAATCATTCTTAGAAAAACATCCTCGCGATTTCTTTCGTTCGTGGAAACAATCTGCGCCGTGTGGAAAAGAACGATTCTTCTTCTTCTTCTGCTTCTTCTTCTCAAAATTCCAATAATTATCCTATGATGTTGCAATATAATCTCATATTGCAATTTATATAATAAAATAACTAGCATAACTTTTTTAAATGGCTACTAATAAATGAAATGATCATTTCATACCTAATTTCTGATCAAATATAATTACACTAACGCATATTGAAAATTGTTTTGTTTTCATTTATAACAGGAAAATGGCTGTTCGATGCAGACGGTGGACTTGGTGGCGAATTGTCCACTTCCGGTGGTGACAGGATCCTCGAGGTCGCCATCGCCATCAAGGTCGTCGAGACCCACGACGCCCTTGACACCCGTTGCATCGACGAGGAGCATGGGGCAACGGCCAAGTACACTTTTGCGTCCGAAGATCTCTTTGACTTGGGTCCTACGTGGTCAACAGCAGCAACAGCAACAACAACAATCTACTACTGGAAACGAAAATTCAGTCTCGAACACGACAGGTTCGTAATTCTACACAAATAAAAGGATCTTTGTTTATTCGTTTCCAAGAGAATTAGTCATTTGCACAGGAACAAACGTTCATCGTGACACACTTTCGCATGATAGCAGAGAAGTATCCTCGAGAAGGAGCATCAAAAGTGAGAAAGAAAAGGATGCTGGCAAGGAGAACGTCGTTGGACAGGAAAAACGTGAAAAAAAGATTCTTCATCGAATCGAAAAGATCGACAAAATGGAAAAGGTACATTATTCGTCATTTTGTTTATAAGAATTATTAGGAAACATTGAACTAAAATAAATGAATTAAAATACATCGAGTTAATCGTTCCAGTCTATTAGCAAGGAGACCATCATCAACGACAAAACTATCGAGAGTCTGTTAGACAAGTATCCAGAGAAGGAATTCGCAAGTGCGAAAGACACGAGAGAGAAAGAAAAAGTGAAGAAAGCTGTTTCCGAACCATCTCTCGTATCGCGCGAATCAACCTCGACTCCAAACAGTCGTGAAAAGCACAGACATAGACGTACCAAACGACCACATAAAACGAGACCACCTAGTAGATTCGGTTACGAGATTGCTGACCTCGATGCATTTTTAACTAAGGTAAATTCATTATATCAGAAGAATGATTTTTTTTTTTAATTAAATAAAGAAAAAACGAATGATTTGAAATGAATTTTGTAGGCATCCATAGAAAGACCAGCAAATATCCCAGTAGTTTTATCCTTCCCGTCAGTCTTATATCAAACGCAAGGTGGTACACAGGATGAAATGGCATTACCACTCGGAACAGTAGTAAATGCAGTCTTCAAAAATCAAAGTTGGTTGTATGTGCAAACACCACATGGGCAAGAAGGCTACGTTGGATATGCAGCTTGTTTACCGCTAGGGATATTACCACAACCTACGCGTGGTCCATGTTGGGAAGACTCGACTGATGTTTTTCCACGTCCGTTGGGTATGTCGAAAGAAAATTATGTGTCATAATATAAGACACTATTCAAATGGAATAGAATTTTTATCTAAGTCAACTTATGACTCAGCATATACATGTATTGTACTTGGTTAACACGTACGTAAATATATTACCTATATTCTATGCGTGTGTTACAGGTAACATGACTGATACCGAAAAATTACGAGACACCAGATCAGAATGTGGTGCCCGAAGTAGAAACACTAGAGTGAGAAGGGGTTCTCGAGATGCGGTTTCCGCCTGCGGAGAACGCAGTGTTGATAGATTATATTTAAGAGCAGCTGCTAATGCTAAAACGAAAGGAGCTAGGCACACTTTGCTCGTCATACGTAACGATTACGAAGGTCGTAGTACTAACTCTTTGAGTGTTTCGAAAGGTGACGTTGTTGCTCTTCTGAGCGATCACGTAAATGATTGGTTTTGGGTTCGATCGAGAGATGGTAGAGAAGGTTTTATACCTGCTGTGGTTGCTGGTCATGGTTTCTTGTAAAAAAAAAAAAGAAAAAAAAAAAATATATATATATATATATATATAAAACAATTCTCCAGTCGTGCGTAGAGTGTCCATTGATTCGACCAGAAATCAATGAGATGATTGTACATTTGTATAATAATTTTATATGGTGTGCAAAAAATGTTATTGCAATAATATATTTATTATTTAGACGAGGAAAATCATTAAAAGATTCTAATTTTTCTAATTGTAAAACATTTACACGAGGTGATACGTTAACTCCGTCCGAAAGAATTATTTCATTACGCGTATTTAATAAAATTGCCTTATATCACGTGTCATACTTTAAAGTTTACTCCAATGCTAGTCAGTCAACAGATAGCATATGAAACCTCGACAATAGATTATCATCCTTGAAAGMCCCTACTTCGATATATCTCGAGCCACTATGTTTAAGCTAAATAATTTTCAATATTTTCTTTAAACGTTTTCAATGAAATTTTCATAAACAATGACACCTATTTCAAATCATATTATATATAATAATTAAAAAGAACAAGGAAGGATGTGTTGTCAAACAAATAAACGGATTATTATTTATGGTTTAGAGTTAAACGAAGTATCTCTGTAAGTATAAAAACGTATATTAAGCAAATTTTAAAGTCATTTCCCTGTAATTAAAGTTTGTACATAAATCAAGATTGTTGGAGGAGCCTGCTATACTTAGCACCTTCTGTGGTATTTCTTGATAAATAGTAGAATAAACTGTATTACTCGACGTTGGCACTTTAGCTAATGTTTCTCCTTGATAAGTTAAGTGATATACATGAGGCACTGCACCAGCTGCTATGATACGCTCTTCGTAGATATGAGCAACATGAATTCCTTGATCGGCAAGATCAAATACTGTGGCAGGTTCCATCGTACGCATATGCCACAAAGATAAATTAGGCCCCCCACCGCATAGCTACAAATATTATTGTCTTTTTCTTTTTCTTTTTTTAACTTTTCTTAACAACTATTTATTCGCTTGATGTGAAATGCAAGAAGACGTGTATATAAAATAAAGACTGATAACGTACCAACCAATCTTCGGTCAAATCAACAGCACCTATCCATTTACCAAACTTTGGACGTGATACTTTATCTACCATATGCGGATTCAAGATATTTGTATTTTCTTTTTTTCGCAAGTCCCACAACCTAACCGATCCATCCTCGCTACTCGATGCAAGTTGATTACCTCTATAATAACATCATGATCCAAAATATTAACGAAAAGTATTATTTCTACTCGTTAACTTCTTAAACTATAACAGCACGTGCATTAAATTATAGTGCAAAGGGTTACGTACAAAAAGAAATAGACTTACGCTAAGGATAGACAATGTATAAAGTCTGTGTGACCAGGTAAATTCCTAAGTATTTTTCCTTCTTCTAAACTTATAACATAAATATTATTGTCACCGCAACCGGCATATAAAATATTATTTGATTTAGAGTACACTAAGAAATTGACATCTGCCTTCTCGTAACTATCTCTAGAAATAAAACACAAGGTTAAAATATCTTTTTCAATTTACAATTTTATACTGTCGAACAATTTCAGAGATGTACTTGTTTGCTGGAATTTGAATAACCCACGAAGGTTTGCTCTTAGCAGCTTTACTAGAAGCAACCACTTTCCAATCCCATCCAGATATTTCACCAACTGTACCAGTAATTAAAAAGTTATCCGTACTAACCATACTTTGAATGTGTTGATCAGGATACGCAGTCAAATGATAGTTAGGTCCTTGCAATTCATTTTCTTCAATTTTGTGCGGTGTCAGAACTTTAGTTAAACTATATAAATAATAATTTTGCAATAAAACTTTGACATTACTTAAATTATATCTTAAAAACTTATATATAAATAACACAATTATTTGATCAAGTTTATACATACTCAATGTATAAGTCAAAACTACATATTATAAATGAAAAACTCACTCAAATATAGAAACATCACCGTAAATATTTCCAGCGGCGAGATAATTTCCATCGGAAGAAAATGTTTGCGATAATACAGTATTATAAAATAATTTTTGATTAAACATTTTTACGAACGCGTTATGTGTACATACCAACAGGAACAATTCGCCATTTTGTGACGTCACTACTGAATCGTGACTGCGTTAATAAATCAAGATTCGATACATTGATTCGATACATTGATTCGATACATTGATTCGATACATTAACGCAGTAGTTATATATCGATAGTTTAATGTTTTTTCATCCCTATGTGTATTGCCATAGCAATCTTCAAACTATAAACAGTAAACACAGTGCAGCATTCAGTTAGGTTTACTGTTAGTATACGCGTTAATTAAATCTATCGCAGTAGTATATTTAGTTATTAAGGTTTATTATACTAGGTAATATTAATTATAGGTTAAATTATCAATCGTTTAATTTTGACAGTTAATAGTTAATAAAAATAAATGAGTGTTTTAACCGTAAACAAATATACGACGATAATAATCGGACAATATTTAATTTTGTTATTTGATATTTGTGTTAATTCCTTTGGAAGTTTTGCCAGGCAGTATCCAATCAATTTATTGGTTCTTTATATGTAAGTGATTATTAGGATTTTTATTGTGTAAAACACATAACCCATAAATTTATTGGAATATTTTCTTTTTTGTTTTCTTTGTAATTTTACAGTATCCAAGACTTCTGTCTAATCATTGGATTTACTATACTTTTGGTTAATTTCTTTTCTACATACATTTTTCAGGTAATAATCAAGAATATTTGTTGAAACTCATTTTGAGATATTTTTGTAATTGTTGACCTGATAATTGTAATTCTGTTATAGGCAGGATTAATACAATTGTTGTATATTCGATTTCGTATGACATTGGTCGTCTGTATTTTATACTTAGTTTTAAGTATTATTTTACATACGTGGCATATTACATTACACTGGTCTAATCCGTTAACACACAATTGGACTAAAGGATTCCATGCTTTGTATGCCGTCCATAGAATAGGTGTGTAATTTTAAATAATTTTTAAAATTTGTTAAGGTATGTATTTTATTAATTAAAAATTATTCCTTTTTCTTTTCTTTTCATTTTTTTTGTCACAATAAAGTTGCAGTTTTTTATTATTACTTCTATAAAAGAGCAGCTCTAAAAATTGCGGATCCAAGATTATACGAGGGATCCAGTTGGGTAGAAAAACAATTGAGTCTTCTATGATATTTATTCTTGTTTCCTTTTTTCAATAGAGAGAGAGGGACAATTTTTATAATTCAAAGGAACTTCTTCTTTATATCCATATAAAATACACGTGAACGATTAAATTAGTACAACGATGTAAATAATAAATACATGATATTCATTGTTTTCTATTCTAATACAATGTTATTAATATCGAGTGATATAAATATTTGAAGAGTGTATGTATCATCGCTTGAATGACATGAATGCATGTATGATTTAGAAGGAGATGAACAATATTTTCTATGCGACTAATGATCATTTGTTTTATATCGTCTAAAATAATACGATATATTTATTAAATTTTATATATATATATATATATATATGGAAAAGATAATTGATAATATTTAATATAGATTACGATTTTGACTACAATTTGCTATTATTTTATTACTTAAAACGAAGCTTTTAGTTGTCTTAGATAAAATAATTTACAATTTTGTTGAGGTAGTCTTTTATTAATAGGTAGTTTTTCGTGCTTTAAATGTTGATAATCATGAGGTACTGAGGCTAAAATTTTTTTTTTTATGTTTGCATTTTGTGAATATGCATGTATCAATTAAAATTTTAAATTACGTAAGTATAGATATATACATATATTGTACATTTTAGATTAGTAGTAAAAATAATAATTGTAATAATAATAATAAAAGTAAAAACTAATCTTATATTATATCCCTATGAAGATCAAAATCATTTTGGTAGTTTCTTAAATTTATTCGTAATTCTAATCGAACTAATCTTTTAATTAAATATCAATTAAATTTAGCATATAATTAACTTATAATAATATAATGAAACAATAGTTTCCGCTTAAAATTCATTTTGTACAATATGTAATATTTGATTTTATAGTTGTGTTTTACGTACAATTAAAAATATCCATTTTTTATAACTGTACGTATTTTTAACTATTTTACAATTGTTGCTTAATGTCGCTTAGAACATAGAAATTATGATTCTAATTGATACATTTATACAATATAAGATAACAAAATTTCGAATTAATATTATTTTAGAATAAAATTATATATGCTACTCGATCTATTGAAAATATTTGAATATATCTTAAACTATCGTTGTTTGAATGTGCCACGACATTTAAAACAAATTATTTAAACGTAATGGTAATACGCTAATCACATATACAGGAGTTGTTTTTTTACGTATTAATATCAAAGTTCTTTCATTCCTTCATAAGTGAACTTCTTAAGTGAACTACTTGCTACGAATAATCTATATAAAAATATTCTTACATTAGAATTCTATCTATTAAAAAAAAAACCTTTAAGCAATTGCCTTACGCAACGGAAAATAATTCTCCTATCAAGGAAATGTTGATAAGGTTAATACTTCAGAAAAAACTGAAGGAAAAAGTTAATAAGAAAAATGCATAAAGCTAATGCAAAAATTATCATCTTAAAAGACATTACATATGCTTTGACGAATAAATCATAATTTCTTTCTAGAAACTATTTATTGAATATTTAGTATAATCAATTTTGGCAATTAGTTTATATACTTTATCACAAAGTATAGATAACATGTACAAAAAAAAAATCTATAACTTTTTATATATGAATGATGATTCTATACATTTAAGTATTTTAACTCTGGATTTCATGTAAAAATTACAATACTTCATAAATCTTAGAAAAATCTTATATTTTTATGAGACATTATTAAATCATTATAAACGTAATTTTTTGAATATATGACCTTATTTATCGTATTTTAATTACTGCCAATCGATGAAATAGTTAATATTGGGACATATATACACAATACATATCAATAAATATACAAATCTATAATACAATCGACCTCAAAATACTTTTTGGTTCTCCTCCTGCTATTACGAGATATTAAAATAGACATCAGACTTTGGTGAAATAATAATTGTATATGTATCTTCATTAAAGCTACGAAAATCTTATTTTCTTTTCTTTTTTGTAATTTTTGTTGAATTGTATATTCAAAGATTAATCCGATGTTCATTTGCATGAAATTTTATAATTATTACAGTGCGTATTACTTGTTTTAAAAAGTGAAAACAAGCGTATCACATATCATCGTAAAATATTAGATTCTATTTACAAGATATTTCCAAATAGCTTGATTTATTGATATTCTCAAAATCGTATTATAAGCAACAAATAAGTTTAATCAAACCGTATGATTGCCGTGAAGGAAAAGTAATTTATCGACTAAATGAGAAGGTAAGGCTGCACGCCTCGTATCATATAAAACTTGTACTTCTGCAGGAATACGAGCTGGCGGAGCGCAACAAGCAGGGACACAATTATACCTACATGCTAATTTAGCTAGATTTGGACATTTAGCGGATACTTTGGCCCACCATTGCAAAGGACAATAATCGAGAGGTGCAGTCGATTCTGATTGATATTGCACTAACTCCAGATCGGCTTTTTCCTCCGCTGGCATTCCATTTTTCGTTGCACACAAACTACCGAGTAATAGTTCCATACCTGTAGACATACACATATGTTTGTTTTCTTATTTATTATTTTTTTTTTTTTTTCATGCATTATCGTAATTATACTTTTGGACAAAAATATTATACCTGATAATCTGCTTTTTTTACACATTTGTTCTTCTTCGATTTTAATCAAGTCACCATTTTCTGACTGTATTAGCTTAGTCAACATTTCTTTAATAGGAGTAGCAACCAAACCTTTGTCTTCATCCGATGCATATGGTAATTGCTTAAATCTGTTGATTTAAATTAATGATAATGATTAACAGCAATTGATTATATATGATTAGATTTAATATAGAATTTTATTTACCGTGGATCTAACGACGTTGCAATTTGAAGAAGAAGAGTTACATTATAATCAGCGTATCGTTCGCACAACATATCTGACAAAGATTCTTTAAAAGATCTTGCTATATCACTATCAGACTCTTTTACTTTAAGATGAGACGATACAAGCTGCCAGAGTAATGGCCTTAAAAGAGATATCAGAGGCATTTTCTCTTCGCTGAGCGTCATAATAGTTACTTTAAATGGTTCAAGAACATTAACAAGGTCTTCGACTACTCTCCATTCTTCGGGGGATAAACCAATAGTTTCTTGTTCATTACTTTCTAAATTATCCAGTATAGAAGAAATGATATTATGTCTATGTACTATTTGCTCCATCATATTATAAGTGGACGTCCAAACACCAGGATAATCGATCACTATGAACTTTTCCTCAAACTTAATAAAAGAAAATGTTAAATGTATAAATATAAATATACATAAATATATATATATAAAACAGAGATAAATTATATATATCTCCAGATAAACATTACCTCCATTTCTTGTTCTTGCATAGTAATAGCCATAGAAGCCTGATGATTTGGAATAGCTCCAATAATAGTTCTACATTTGGATAAAATATTAGCCACTTCTGCATTCTCGAAACAGGCTTGTGCGCAAACTTGTAACGTGTGAAGGAGACATGGTACCAATGTTAAACCCTTAGCCACTAATGCAGCTATCAACTCTGGTCTAGATGTTCCTACGACCACAGCTGTTATTCGTTCAATTTTAAGATACCACTCATGTAGTAAAGTATCAATTACATTACACCATTGATCCTTATCCCAGTCTAAAGGCGCATGCAAACTATTTAAAACTTTACATTCCAGGGTAGTTTCACCAGCATTTTGGTAATACACAGATATTGTCACAAAACTTTCATTGAAATTAGATTTCCATTCTTCGATGGTTAATCCAACGTCGTTGTTCATACAAGCGAAGGAAGCAGTCACGGATTCACGAAAAGTATCATAAATTTTAGGTATTATTTCTTCTTCGAGCTTCTTTTTACTTGGAATTTCACAGGGTGATCTTAACGTAGCAACGAGCCTTTGAAATCCATGACCTTCTACCACTTCCGGTAACTGTAGATCCATTATTATGAATTCCGCGATAGCATCAGATAAAGTTTTACCGTCTATACTTAATTGATGCACCGAGTTATCTTCTGGCATAAGAAATGCTACGTTTTGATTGTTATTACCGATATTTGTACTACCTTTGATCATCACTCTCAATGGTTGAGCTAGAGTGATGTCGTCTTCCATATTGGATAGATTAATATTTGGATCCGTTACAAATTGAATATCTCCATCGATTTGTACTGTACCATCCGCAGTAGTAGTGTAAATATGTTGCGGCGAAGATAATTCAGCTTTGATTTTCCTTTTCTGCGCTCTACGATCCTTTGCCTCCTGAGAAAGAACTTGTCTACGGGGTGGCGTACTAGCTTCCAATTCTAACAACTCTTGAGCGTGTTTATTTTGCAAATGCATTCGCAAATTACTAGTGTTACGATTATATGCAATTTGTGTCTTACATAATATACATACGATTTTGACCTTAGTTAAAATATCACCGTCTTCGGTGGCAGGAAACCCAAAAAATTTCCAATAAATGCTTCTCATCGACATAGGTACAACTAATTTTTTGTAAGCAAACGTATGCTTTTCTTCCATCATTTTGGCGAGTACCATTTGCATTTCACTCTTGGACTCATCTGATGCAGTAGATTTGCTAGTGTTACAGGCTGTTGACGACCTAGTTTCCATGGTTATATCTTGAGATGCATAACTACCGGCACATGTATCTTATCCGATAGAATACAACACCATAGTTCGGATTTCAGATTATTTTCTATTGTAAATATATTAGATTATATCTTTTATTTGCCCAATTTTCATATCCGTATCAAAATGGTGGACCTTTATAGTTGCATAATTTAAAATGTTATGTTTGGACGAAACGTTCCAACGTTAATTACAATTCAATTTCTTTAACGTCGAAATGATATCAAAAGGATAATGAATTTGCCGCGGTCTATACACCGATATCACAGAACGAGAGGTTCGGTAAATATTTTATAGATATCGAAGTTCAATTTCTCGCTTTGAAAAGAACGATGGGCGATCACTTATCGACCACACAGGTAACGACGATATCGACTTTGTATTCGTACTTCCCTACAAATATCGTTACTAACGAATCTCGGCAAATCGATCACTAGAGAAAATATATTATTGCAGCTCCATCTACGACGCTTCTCACTTATTTTCAATTACGATTGGTCGATGCATTTGTCCGATTAAATAAAGCAATCAATTAAATTTAACTAATACATCATTTCGATACAACATCTAATTTATTTTCATAAATACAATCATATCCTCATTAAATTACTGATACAAATTCGATATACAAATATTTGATTTATTTGACTATAAATCTCAACCAATAGGAAAACGAGAAATATTGGATTTGGTAAAACAGTGTAGCCACTCGTCTAACGTTAAAAGTCTATAGATTCGATTACGATTACGAGGGTAAAGGAAAGTTCATCGTGCGTTTCAGTAAAAAGAGAAATCGATTTATTCAGTTAATATATTTTACTTTAAAAAAGAAAAAGGAAAAAAAAATGATTATTGTTTATTAAATAACAAAAGTGTGTGTTCATTACGAGATGATAATAATAGAAAAAGGAAGAAATCGATCGAAAGAAAAATTATAAATTAGCGGTAAATCGAAAGGGTTAATTTTGGATGCATTTATCGATAGTAATCGATATCTAGTTAGTGCGATTATTCGTCAGGTGGCGCGTCGATAGGACATTCGAGGTTTTGTCGAAAGGCGCGTCAGTCCAGAGTCAACCGTAGACGGCTGTTCTTACGACGGATGTGACAAGGCCGTTTTTTCTCTCTCTCTCTTTCTCTTTTTCTCTTTTTCTCTCTCTTTTTCTCTCTCTCTCTTTCGTTTTGTCCGTTCTATCTTTTTCTCATATACAATCGTACGTACATTTGGTTTTTTTTTCATTCGTTTGTACGCGTCAGTCGGAGACAGTTCGTCGTTCGTATTTTAAATAGAAACTCGTCTGTTCGTTGGTGAGATATCCATAGGATTGCTATTCGTCAACAAGGCGAACAAGAATATAACAGGAAGAAAAATAAAAGGCCGCGGATTTGTGCAAACGATGATCAACGTGAAAAGTGTGACAGTGCGCGAACTCGGTTAATATCAAACACGCTTCAAGCTTCGAAATAAATCACTTGGATTTCAATTAATCGTTTCTTCTTGTAAGTATTATTTACCTACGCGATCGATTATTAAATATTTTTATGTTTTGTTTTGTAATCAACTTTGACTATGTATGTGTGAGAAAGAGAGAGAGAGAGAGAGAGAGAGATAGATAAATAGATAGATAGATAAAAGTCATCGACCATCTTCGTTTAACAATACTYTCTCTCTCTCTCTCTCTCTCTCTCTCTCTCTCTCTCTCTCTCTCTCTCTCTCTCTCTCTTTCTCTCTTTCTTTCCATCTACTCTTCGCGTTCTCTTTTTGGTCGACGACGATTATAAGCTTTGTATGAATTTAAGAAAACGATAACTCGTTTTGATCTTGAAATGAGAAGAAGATACATGGATGAGATGAGGTTATGACGAAGAGAGATCGAAAGAGCCTCTACACCTGCCATCATGGGACAGTTGTGTTTGAACTCGTTTTATTACTTTTGCTCTTGCATGCTACTCTCTCTCACTCTCTCTCATACATAATACATTAAATCACATATACATAGATAACATAATATACAAATATATATATATATATATATATTGTATGCATGTATACATAAACGCAGTCTTTCTTCCATGGTTGTACGTTTAGCTCTCTTGATGGCCGTTGTACGCTCGATCAGGTTTTCCTTCGGCTCGCCTCGTTACCTTCCATACCGCATTAACGATTTTGGAGTTTGCGAGGGAACGAGTTACCCGCTCGAAAATCCCTCCACGACCGCTCCTCCCTTAAACTATAAAACGATGTAACATGTTATTTATTATTGGGCTAAGAAAAAAAAATAGATGGATCTGTTTGTATTCTTTCAGACAACTACTCAGCAAAGAGAATGAATACATTTAATAATACATTATCAATTGCAAGATGATGCTACCGTAATCGTGCTTGTTCGCATTACATAAGTGTGTTTGCAATTGTAGGCATGCGGCGAGCACGATGTTTAAAAACAATCATATACATATATATGCATATAATATGTTTAATAATCGTCTATATACGTGTATGTACACTTGGGGATATGTAAAGAAATGGTTACGTAGAAGTTGATAGACGCATTTCACTTGTCAATGTTTAAACAAACGTGTTCTCTATGTTAGAGAGCTATCTTTAAATTGGCTTACGATTACCATCTATAATTTATGATTTTCGTTTAAGCGTTTTGGATTTAATTCGAAATATTAATTTTCTCTAAACAAACGTTATACATACATATGCGATATATTATTTCAGATAATCGTCATCGAATAATTTTGGCCATATATCAATTTACTAATTCATATGGGTTTGTTGTAATTATTAATAATACGATCTATGTAAATGTGTATATTTTCATTTTGTTTAGATTAATATTACTATATTAAATATTACTTATTCACACTCACACAATAGGATAATAATGACAAAATGAATGCGATAATATACAGATAAGAGATTACTTCAGATAAGAGTTACTTTCTTTAGAAATCCGTTTAATTAGCAGCTACTTTAGTATAGTTATTGATACGGTTACTATGGCAACATTATTGTTATTGTGCATCTTGCATTAAATCGTTTAAAAAATGAATAAATCTTAAGTTTACCAAGGAAAAACAATTTGTTGCGTTGCAATGTTGATGGATAATCAAATGATGCATAATCAAAGCAGAGACTTTGGGCAAAATTATTTAGATTTGACCCTGTATATGATTTATCTCTTTTTATCTTGATCTTTTTGTAATCAAGATCGAGGGTATTATTTTGGTTTGCACACCTGTTCTTCCAAGATCGTATTAAATTTATTTGAATTGTCATTAGACGATAAATGATAGAGCGATATAAAAGATTATTGAAAGAGTTTCGTTAGATTAAACATCGTTTAACGTAGACAATCGTATACTTCCGTTTTCTTTTTTAAAGACTCACTTGTAAATAAGATCCCACGGATGTCGTATTTTCACTTAGATTAGAAGGTCGTCGGAAGTTTTTAATGAAATCTTCTAACAGAGAGTAACGCGATAAAGAAGAGAAACTCGCAAACAAGACGATTAAATCCTCGTTATTGTTTAGTTATAGCAATTAAATGTTTAGTTATATTTACTTCTTCAATTCTAAATTGATAATGTTTGATAAATATACGTAGGTAGGTGTAATAGAATGTTTCATAAATACTTGCAATTATTTCTTTTTCTTTTATCGCCATTTAACGAAAAAATGTAATTTAATAATCGATCAGGAGAGTAAGAAAATGTATTTATTATAAAAGTTAATGCAATATTTTAATTTTCCCGCGCATTTATCCCGCCGTACTCAGACGTCATATCGATTGGATTCTCGGAAAAGAAAAAGCAACATCCTAAAGTCAATTATAAAAGTATAATTAGAGTACTTAAATATGTAAAAAAAGAAAAAAAAAAGAAGAAGGAAAAGACAAGGAAGATTTATAGTAGGTGCAAATTAGCAGGTTTGTTAGCGTTAAGAGCAGAAAACTCTTAAAAGTCGAGCGAATCAGCTTTCTCGCGGGAATTTCAAAATCGTTTCTCTTCTACTTAAGGTAATCCTCAGCTCGCGTTCGTGCCTTATTACGATCTCTGCGAACAGTTACATGTTTAAATACAAGTAGCACGACGGATAACGAGATGATCGAATTACTTACTTTTTTCTTCTTTTCATTTATGCGTTAGAAATGACGCAATCAAATAAGTTTATAGAAAAAAGGTAATTATTAACACTTGCGTTGTCTGTTTCGTAGGTGGAATTAAGAAACGAAGGAGAATAATAGGAAAATAAAATGGGAAACGGAAATGACAGGGGCAGTCGTGAAACTCGAGTGTTGTCATAAGATCATAGATCGCGTGGGATCGAAAGAAAAAGGAAGTGGAAGCAATGAAACTTCGAGGAGAATCGTCTTATCCTCCGCAGCATCCACCTCCCGTTCTTATTACTCGACGACCATTCTCCTCCTCGAGTCCATGTCGCTGCTGCCGCGGTTCTTTATGTCCTCGACTACTATCACTTTCCGCTGCATAAAGGGATAAAAAAGAAGGGAAGAAAATCAAACGAGACGATCTATTAGTCTTCTCCAACGGAAGCGTTTTCTTAAAGGAAAGGATTCCAAAGTAATCGCAGGTAGCGATAAAAAGGGAAGATTCGAAGAGAGTGCTGCGCGAGGTGGTGCTACAGAGGTGGTGCTACAGAGGTGGTGCTACAGAGGTGGTGCTACGCGAAATCAAACTGAAGTGCCCGGTTCTCGGTGAGATGGCCTTCATGATGAAGAAGAAGAAGAAGTACGAATTCTCGGTTGAGGTCGACCTCGAGGAACTCACCGCAGTGCCCTTCGTTAGTGCAGTGCTATTCGCTAAACTGCGTTTACTTCATGGGGGTTCTTTCGTTGGTCACTCCACTAGGTGAGTTTATGACATAATACATTTTCTTCAATATTCCGTATAGATCGGATCCTATTGGGTTAGCCAATATGAAAAATAGTTGCATCGATTAAGATAAACAAGTTTTTATTGCATTTCTTGTGGCATTTTTCTTGCTATATCATTTCTACGTGTCAAAGGTTCGTTTTTTATTATTATTTCTTTTCGCGCGTCATTCAAGATGGAGATAAATGAAATGATCGATCTATTCGCGAAAGATCTATCTTCGATCAACTTCCAAATATTCTTCTGTCTTCCTCGTCTCATTTATTTTCCATCTCTTCTAATTTGTTTTTATTTTTAATTGAAGTTTTCGATAGGTCTAACGATAAGTCTTGGAAATGTGAAATGTGTCCAAGGCTTTGATATTTTCTTAACGAACAGGTTTTTTTTATTCGATCAAATTAGTAGCATAAAATAGTATTGCAGGAAGCTCGAAATATTTTCGGGATAAATTCTATATACGCGCGTGAACGTACACATGCGTAGAGAAAATAAATAGAAGTAAAAAAAGGGTCCCAGTTAAAACCGTAATATATTTTCTTGGAAACGATTAAAGATTAATGTTCGTCTCACACGCTCGAAAGCGTGTCTACACCCTCGGCGAAAGTTTTCCATTCGACCGATCGATGATTCCGTCCTGTGTGTTTCCTACGGAACAAATATAGAAACGCGTTCTTAGAGTGGAACTTGCCTGAGAATAGGGAAAAATAGCGAGAATAAAGTTTTTATTGTACTTGGACAACTTCAATTTGAAATTGATCCTTTTTCGCTAAACTTTACGCTAAACTTTACGCTAAACTTTACGCTAAACTTTACGCTAAACTTTACGCTTAACTTTACGCTCAATTTTCTTATTCCTTTTTTTCCAATCACATTATAGATTGCACTAATTAATTTCAATATCTTTTCTCTTTGGTATTTGAAATATAAAAAAAATAAAAACTACAAAGAGAGAGATTGTCAGATGAATAAATTCAAATCCTATGGGGATATGCTCGTGTGTTAGAAGGATTTAACCAAAGATATTCTTGGAAGAAAATCTAAGATCTAGATCGTCGAGTAGTATACTACATCGGGGGGCATTTTCACCGTGCGAAAATGCATTGACGATTTCTCGCATCGATTATTCCGATCGATTAAATGCGATTTTATCCATTTATTTCCACGGCTTTGCATCTATCGCTTTGGAAATGCGTTCGAATGATCCAAATCTCGATCCATTCTCGGTCCATTATAGAGTCCAATAGCAAATCCGCGCATGGATTAAAAGAATATTCGATTCAATACAATTATTTTGATTTATTCGTATCAAATTGCTAGAGAGAAAATTGATATTTTAAGAAATTCGTGCTTCCATTTCCGAAACACCCACTACATTTATTTTTAAACACGCTTGACAAGTATGTTAAAAGTCAATTTTATTGTATCCAAAAAAAAAGGGGGAGACAAAATTAGATTTTTTGTCTTTTTTCAAGCTATGAAACTAACAACGAAAACGTTGTTCCTGTCATTTTTCTTCATAAAATTTCAAACTTGCGCTTCTGTGTATTACGCGTATGTTATAACGCATGATAATGATCGTTTGAGAATATGTTTCTCGGTATCTCATCAATGACATTTTCGCAAGAATCGAGAAAACTCGCCCTTGGAAACTCGCCAAAATACTTCCGTGTATCGTGCCTTTCGAAAATTGTATTCTCATACCAGCCAGAACGATGCTCCTTCTCTCTCTCTCTCTTCCAATTTCATTTTTATTCATTAATTCCTTCTCGATTAAATTCTTTCCTATCGAATTTTCCCCATTTTTGTTCCTATTTCATTTTATATTTTCGGAGAGGGGGGCAGAGACTATTTTATTATCGAAATTAACTATTTTTTTCAATATTCTCCTAATTAATTTCAACGTCATTTCATTCCTCTCCGTCTCTAATTGAATTCATTCATTTTCGACTATTCTTTTTCTCTCCTCGTTTAATTTTTATTCACTTTACTATCCTTTTGTATTTCTTCTTTCAAAAATTCATTCTTTTTAAACATTCTCGTAATTGATTCGTCCTATGACTTTTATTTTTTCTTTAATTTTACATCACTCGTAATTTCTCTTGCACATTTATAATAAATTTCTATATTTTCATGTAGTTTCCTTTTTTATTGAATTTTATTCTCTAATCAGACTCGCGCGACTTTTTTCATCCCTTGTATATATAATTATGGTCAAGCGTAATATTTTATTTTTAAATGACTCCAGTTTTGAAAATAATCCAATTAGATTAAATTATGGAATATAGCTCAGCTTGTGTTTAACGACAAGCACAAAGTCGTTCGTTCATTAGGAAAAACGTTATTCTCGAGCATTAAAAAAGAACAAAATAAGAGCAACAAGAAGAAAATGAAAGATGTTGTGCATAAACGTTAATTCCATTTCGGCGAGCTTCCAAGAAAATCTTTTCTCGATTGCTAATTTAAAGCTTTTGAAAAACAGATAGATAGATAGGAATAATATGACCTTGGGAAAAGGACCTTCAAATATTGGAAAAAGTAGAGCAACGTGGTTAGAGTAAAACGAGTCGGAGCTTTTACTTAATTTTCATTGATCCAACTCTATTCTCTAGTTATCTCTCTTTCAACCATATATCAGCACACACATATGTATATGCACACGGTATGCATATGTATCTCTTACAAAAACATGGATTTTATGGTAAAAGCTAGATACAATGCATTGTAATATGTAACGAGGAACGTGCGTGTCCGGTTTAAAAGGGTGAGGCATTTAAATGGTCAAATCTCGGTCTTCATTGTTCTCTGAATTTGTAATGGGAAATACTCTAGACTCTAAATAACAAAAGACTCTACTCTCTTTTCTTTTCATTCTTCTTTTTTTTCTTCTCTATTTCTTTGCTTATTCTCGCGATTTGTAATTTTTCGTTGAAAGAAAAGCTGGAGCCTCTCTTTGAAAAAACCTTAAATGTTGTTTTTATTTCTTTCAGCAAGTCTTTTAATCATATTCGTGATTTTTGTGTGAAATTTCTAAAGAAGAACATTAATTAATGCGAGTTGTATAATGTTACTTTTCTCTTTGTTTTTTTTTTTTTCTAAAGTACTTTCGAGTTGAAGTCTTATTTCTTTTTTTTGATTTTTTGTTCTCTTCAAATTTCGTGTTAGATACTTCTGTTCGTAATTATATACGCGTGAACGGAATAACGTGATATGTTATTATATTCCATACACAAAATGATATACTATAGGATACAACGTAATACTTCGTGGTTGTACATATTAATGAGGGATTATATATATATATATATATATATATGTTACCGTCAAAGCCGGAAATCCGTCATTGCTAGTAATTCCTCGGCATTACTATGTATGCAAAGAGCCTTCAGACGAAGTCGGAAATAAGAGATACACAGCCATACGCAACCCCTCCCCTTCAAAACAACCCATACAGATAAAGAACATTTCGTTCTAACTTGTGTATCTTCCGATACGATAATGAACAAAAGATACAAATCTCTATGAATAACTGTCTAACTAATGTCTAGAAAATATAGCGTGAACCTTTGCAAATCAATTTATAACTCGACAAGTTATTTTACACGTAGGAAAAAGGGTGCACTTTAATTTAATATAAGAGTCATTAAAATCTATTGACTTTTAGTATAAAAAATATKTAGCAAAAGTTTTCAAAGAAATAGCAAAGTTGTACAATTTACAGCATTGCAATCTCTGATAATTTTAAAGAATTAACTACAAATCCTGACAATTGATTTTACAATTAACTTCAACCTCGTGTCTTCTTAGCGAGGTGGGGAAGAAAAAGAAAAGGCACACAGTAAGCGTAAGATAAAAATGATAAATAATAGCTATCGCGTCATTCCCAGTGCATCCAAGTCAGTGCACGTAATCGGATCGAGATAAGTACTTGCAATTTAATGGTCGCACCATCTCTCGCCAACTTTTCTCTCTCTCTCTCTCTCTCTCTCTCTCTCTCTCTGACTCTACCTTGAACCATGACCTTCCTCGAAAAAATGCTCTTTTCGCGAACGCAAAAGCCACGAACCGTAGAATCGTTAGATACATTTGAAAAATATTTCTGTAGGAACGATTAGGTTATATAGGGTTATACCCTCCAATGGAGGAGGATGAGAGGTAAAAAAATGATAAGAGGATAGTGTGCGACGATAATGGACAATGTCCTGTCGGCCGATGTCCCTGCGTGGAAACGCTAGATGTATATGAAATATATAGTTAGGACCCGACACCGGGCTTCATGCGTGATGATGAGGAAACGCCCGATTACAGCGCTTCGAACGAGGTATATGTACATATAATATCTCTGCGTATATCCTACTACCGATTATTATTATTATCAAAAGTTACAAAAGAAAAACAAGCCAACCGGTTAAACGTCGATTCTCCATTTACTTCCGTTTTTATTCCCTCGGTTATTTATACATTTTTATACTTGAGATAAAATAAAGAATGATTACAATACTAGGCTTATTTTCATTATTTTGGGTACACGTTGCGTAACTTTTCAGTTCGTTTAAACCGAACCTTACTCCGAGGGTTAATTAACATTGGCTAGGTTATATACAAGCTCTGAGTCATTTAAGATCTCAGCTGTGCCTCGAAAGCTATTAGATTGCTAGAAATTTGTGCAAATTCCAAGATACATTTATGAATCATCTTTGATACTGTTTAGGTTTCTCACGTTTATCCATTTCAAATGAAAGATATTTGAAATAAATAGCTCGGCTTTAAATCAATCGATTCCTTTTTCTCTTATTCGGAGAAGAGAGAAAGAAAAGAAAAGAAAAGAAAAAAAGCTGTTGAGGTGTGGGCGCCGATATGACTCGAGCGCGGTGATCCACATACACGTTTGGCTCTGTTCCAAAGTTAAAGGAAAGACAAAGAAAAAGAAAAATAAAAAGGGGGAGAGTTATGAATGCCGAGTGGACGTTCATTCATGCGAAGGACGATCGAATATAAAAGAGAAAAAAAAGGAGCGTAGTTAGTTTGGTGCAAGCCGAGAATAAAATCGGTCGATGGAATTAAATACATATAAAGTAGAATAAAGTTACATTTTGGTAAACTTACATTTGGATGGATTTAGCAAATTCATTCAGTATAAGAGTTGTAGAAGAGTAGTATGTACTGGCCGAGCACTGCGTGCGTAAAATCGATTAGAATGCGGCTGACGCGCGGTCTCAGTTTCGCGGAAAGAACGCCTAAGATCGAATTGATATTCCTTAGAGTTTCGTCATGTGTTGCTATGATTTCGATCAGAGTTTGCCGTTGAACGAGATGGGAGAAAAGGGACGAGAAGGAAGATCGACGAGTAGTTATGGGCCCCGATGTTTCCGTTAGGGCTATTTAATTCCCTTAATAATATCCGTGGTGGTCGGTCTGTGTCAGTTGCACGAACATTGTCGCCAGGAAATCACGTATCTTACTTGGTCAAGAAATTGTCCTCGTCGTCGCGTGGGCGAACCCTCGTCGCACCGCATATTCCCCGATCGTCTTCCAATTATTTTCTTCTGATAGGAAAAAAGACACGTATTATCATTGCCAGCTATATAAACTACGAATATTCTCTAATAACATCCTTTCGCGAATGCATATAATAGATCGAAATCGCGTTTATTGTCATACACAATAGTGCGACGATACACAACAGGGGGTGTGCCAGTGGCGGCAGTCGTCGCGTTTCCATTCCGAACTTATTGTTCGGTAAGCTGGAGATCGTTAAAATAAAAGTCCAAGTCAATACTTAATGGCGTGTACCTTTTTTTTTGCCCGGAAAATCATCGTCGCGAATTTTCTTCCATTTCCTTTTCTCCGATCAAAATTTAACGATCTTCCTATCTATTTCTTTGTTTCTTTCTTCGTCTCTCTCTCTCTCTCTCTCTATTTCCCATAGCGATCGTTCGCCTTTCAAACTTGTCATCCTAATGCGGAAGTACAACAGTAGACGTCAATTTTGCGGCTCGTTATTTCATTGATCGAGTATATCCTTCAATGCGTTTGCTACAAACCTATTCAGCAAACGGAATTAATCAAAGGGAAAGAAAACTATATAGGAGAAGAGTTACAGTTAGATAAAGACGAAAAGAAAGAGATAGCCAAAAAGTTATCTATTTTGTTCCAACAAGAAAGTAGCGGAAAAGATTGAACGAGATGAACTTTTACGATCTTTTTACGTCCCTAGAATTTTCTCTGTCTTTCTTTTATTTTATTTTGTTTCTATCATATTTCAAAGTAGGATAAGGGTAAAAGAGAGAGAGAGAGAGAGAAAGAGAGAGTCGGTCCGGCCAAGGTCGACCGATCGATTACTCTACGAATTTGCGTAACGGAGATAGAGTTAGAGGGGTTCCAAAGGGGAGACAAAGCCAGAGATGATGTATACAGAGTGTAACTTAAATACGAAAATATTACAAATCCTAAAGTTAATAAAAATACGTGATTAAATATTTGACTATAATACGCGAAAAAGAATTCATTTGGTGAAATTTCATGCGTATGTTACCGGCAAAGTATTCTTGACAGTGGCCCATGAAATACTTGATTACATGTTTCTTATATCAGAGCCTATGTGGTAGAACTTTGCAGGCTAGATTTTGTCCTTATCGAGACAAAGATGAGAGAGTATTCGAGCATAAAACTTTAGCACTGGGAGAACCGGGAGATACTGTAAGGACTCGACGGGTGTCGATAACGCGCATGATTGCTGACATGCTGATAGGAGGGGGAATTGGAGGGGCAATTGGAGGGGCAATTGGAGGGGCAATTGGAGGGACAATTGGAGGGTTGCTTTCGCGTAGGCCAAAGGGTAACTCCTTTCCTTCTAGAATTTAAATTGAATCTTACACAAAATTGTTCTTTTTTTTTCTTTTCTTTATTTTTTATTATTATTTAAATTTGTACGCTTCGATCAAATTTTCTTCTTTATTGTTTTTTATCTTAAAGAGTAAAAAAAGACGCGTGTAATCCTTAGTCCTTAGTTTACGTGGGCGGAATCAAAATATAAGAGAATTATAAAATGTGTATCCTTTAGAAAACAAATGTTCGTGGATCAAGCAAGAATATTTTGAAATTGTCGTTAATTATCGCGAGAGGAATGACAACAATTTGAATCTCGCCTATGTACTAGACATTGTTTAGAGATACTTATTGATTACTCTCTCTTTCTCTCTCTTGCACATTCTCCTAAGCACGCAATACACGCATTATATGCAACATATACACGAGTATCATTGAACTCATCTCTTTCTCTCTTTTTCATGAATTTTACATGAAATTGACGTAGTCGTCTATCAATATTTTTATTAATATCCTTCCTTTTTTAATTGATTTTAGCCGAGGGATGGAAAAGAAATAATAAATTATATAAAAAAAATAATTATTTTGTTTCCACGAAGCGAGGAAACTTTTTTTCCCATGGCAAAATCCACCCCACCCGTTTGATCGATCTTACCTTGGCAAAAGAGCCTAGTAGTTTATTTGATCTCGTTCGTTTTCGTATAGTCGTCGTTGTTCGAGTCTTCTCGTTATACTTCATCGTTTAATGATGGATCCTTCCCATTTCGTATTCCACAAAAAGATCAGATCTTTCCCGACGAGTCGATTAATATCCATGTTTAATTAGGTTAATGAGTAAATTATACGTGTAGTTTATTATCGATTCGTTAACATTCCAATTATAAATTTTGATTTTCTTCGGACTTTTTGCTTCAGCGAATTATGTTTTTATTTGTAATCGTTGAAATTCGAGCGATATGCCGAAGGGTTGCGTAACGAAGAGAAACAAAATGGGGTTTTATCGATTAGCAGAAATTGAAGAACCCGATCCCTCTTCGTTTCTTTCGTATTGTAAACGACAAACCATAAATCGCATAACGTCAAGCTGTCCACTGTTAAACCAGCACGTTGAAACGTTTCATTGCCATGACCTTCTTTTAGATCTTTGATCGTGAACAACGGGGGTCGTATTGGAATTTTCTTCTTTTCAATTTCATCCATACATGTTTATCAACAATTGATCTAATCGATTTACTATTAAAAATAACTAATTAATTTCCCGTGCGCGAGAGAGAAAATAGTCGAATCGATAAATCAATGAATCAGAAGATAATTTGATCTATTCTACCTGCCAATATCTATTTTTAATTCATTTATTTTCTCCCTTCTCTAATTATACGATACTAATTAATCTTTCGTATGCGATCGATTAAATGAAACGGTTGCTGCTGAAACACTCGAGTCATTGACAAATATTACAAATTTCTATAAAGTAATAGTAGTAAAGATTAAAAGGAATGATATTTGATTGGATACAAGAGTGGTTCGTTTGAATGAGTATTTTTATTCGACCAATTGAATGTCTCTACAGAGAAGAAATATTCGTGCAAAAGATGAACGATGTTGAAATGATGACGAGCATCTGTTAATAACAGTTTCACACATATGCAGTCAGACTCGGAGAATGATGTGTTCGGCTTTGTTTACGAGACTTGACATAATCCTTTTGGAATCTTGGATGAAATCAACTCTCTTCCCGATATATTAACTTATTTTTCTAAATGCACGAGCTCGTCATCTTTTTTTTCTTCTTCAAAATGATTCATATTTTTGTCTATTTTCAATTGGTTACAAAATAAATCGAATAAGAAATTTGATAATAGAATGAGAACAAAATATCAAATATTTTCGAGTTGGATTTGAGAAAAATCGATTTGAGAAAAATCGATTAATCTTTATAGACAATTTTCTACACCAACTTCTTTTTTGAAATCATCAAACTGGAAGCCCAGGAGCTCTGGTATAATTTAAAAATAAAAAAACTTCAGCTTAAAAAGTTGAGAAAAAAGAGGAATTGGTTTTAAATATAACCAAGGAACTTTTAGCTCAGTTTTTTTTAACTTTTTTGAAAAAAGATAAAAAGACAGAAGATAAGATTTTATATTTATAAACCCGAGAGATAATTTTGTAACAAAGTTTTTCTCGCTCGAATGAACATTGTGTCAGTGCAAGAAAAAAAAAGAAAGAGACGAGAGACTTATTAGAAGAAACGTTCGCAACTAACTCTCTTGGAAATCTTCCGATGCGAGAAAGAGAGGAAGAAAATGAATATTCAATAAAGTTCAATAATAATTTCAAGATCATTTCGATTGAAATTTCATTCGATTGATTTTTAGATCGACAAATTTCAAGATCAGAGATAGAGAATTCAAGAAAATGATTAGATTAAACACGAGAAGATCACAATCTGCGTTATTAAATTTATCATCATTCCTTATATATAATGCATTTTGATAATAATAATTTATTCGTTCGGATAGACAATTAGAAGGAAGAAAAATAATAGCAAGAGGAGAGGAAAAACTCTCATAGCAATTATATATGACCTTGAAGTCCTTATTAGCGTTACTCGAGTTCATTATTGGAGCGGATTAATAAATATGTATAATAACGTTGCTGAGAGAAATAGCAGACGCATCTCTCTAACGCGTTTCATTTTCTTCCAAGTCAAGGTTGATTTTTTATTCATCCGTGGTTATCATTTGGTTACTAATAATAATCAATAAATGACCGAAATATATTATTCGAATAATTTATTTTGAAATAAAATGATACAACGTGAAAATAACAGTTCATAATTTGACTCGAGCTTTGAAATAGGTGGGCGTGTATAGGAATAAAAGATCGATGCGTGTTAATCGTGATAGCACGTTTCTAGCGTGACACGAATTCATGCAACATAATAGTAAGGTTTTAACATTGAGACCCACGTAAAACATTATTCAAACAATACACATTTATCCTTACTTAGAAATGGAACTTTTAAGAATTTGTCTTCAGAACAGAAAGTATCTGGAAATAATCAAATTATTTGAAGAACATCGCGAGCGAACGAATTTCAATAGAATTTTATAATCAGTCGGTCGGTTTTGTTGTTTTTTTTTTTTTTTTTCTAAAAATCATTTCAATACAATGTTATTTCTGTAACGTCGTAATTAGAAACCTGCGATTAAAGTACAACGAGTTAGATCGTTGCGTAATAAGAAGATAATAAGTGATAATAATTCTGTCAGGTGTCGTTCATCGCGATAAGATTAATTTTTATTCTTTAGACACAAAAATTCGAAATAAAAAGCGCAAAAATGAATAACGATGAGACAAATAAATGCAAGGTACGTATTTGCCAAATTTGCTTTCATACGAATCCGATAGAATTTCATTTGGCATTTCTCCCGAATAGAACAAAAAAACCTGTTTTTCCTGATTTTGATAAGCTTTAGGGTGTGCATTACGGTGTGCATTACGGTGTGCATTACGAGTGGCATGACCTCGCGCTATTATGTTGTAATTTAAAACGACTTGGTTCGAGCCTTGCGCCCCTATATGCGAATGCCAAAGATTTCGTGGCCTCGTCGTCTTTCATCGAGTTGAAAAAGTGTGTCAAAGGTCGTTTGGCCACTTTCGATCTTGATTTATCTCATTACCGATTAAAATATTCATTAATTTATCTTTCTTACTTCCTCCCCTTGTCATCTGTGTGTTTTCTGCTCAAATTTTATCCTGAATTATTTTGTGGATAATTTATTGAAAAATTGAATGAATGAACAAGTAGAAATGCGAGATGTAATAAACCTTGCCATTCGAGATGGTGACGTTTTAAGTGACGTGAGAGAGAGTTCGACGATCTGTATTGATCGTGCGAACCCTTGCCGTTACCAACTCTCACACGAGGATCAATCGTTACGTTACGATTGCGATAAATAAGCGTCCCTTAAGACGAACAATAATCATTCAGAAACGAAACCGAATTCATATCGAACGAAACAATACAGAACGTACAATTTAATATCATTTCAATTTACACGAAACATTGTAATTTATTAAACAATGAAAAGTTGTCAACGTAAACGGCTTCGAGTCATTATCGATGAATAATTATTATTTCGCATTACTACTCGCATTTCTTGCGATAAGGAGACGCGATAAACGTCAGACACGCACGCGCTCTCGATAACTTATCGATTTTATCTACATCTCTCTCTTTATCTCTTTTCCTTCTCTTAATTATACTCTTTCTATTAATATATTTTTCTATTTACATTTCGGGGCTTTTGGAAAAATATCGACGATCTCAGTTCAGCTTAAAATAAATAACAAAGCAATGAGAAAAATCCCTCTATAAATCTCGTAAATAGTTTGTAGTTCGTTTGATGCAGAATAGATTTGAGTGCAGAATAGATACACCCCCAGTATTTATTCGTAATTTTGTTAGTATTTCTAGAAACACATTAATCGTAAGTTCGATTTGAAAGTTTCTGCTCTTGAAGTCTTGTAATCGGATTTGCGACGATCGGCGAGGAAAGTGTTCGCTTTAAATTGAAAACTTTGATCAAAGGTTAATTGTCGCCGATCGATTACGAATCTTTTATATAGATTTTACACATTGTTGAGGAACAATCCATCGATATTATATACTTTTTGCCGGATCATCTTTTGACTTTAGGAAGAGAAAATATTGGATTTGGTTCCTTTTTTTCTTATCCGCGTTCGTTGTCTTGGGTCCCCGATAATTCTTACATGGCGCTTACGTGGTAAGTGTAATAACGGTGTTCCCTGCGTTCGGCAATTCAAACGCGTATAATTCGATTGAAGACAACTCGATAATCGTTCTTCTTCACGAGGGGGCTCAAATTCTTCGCACTCGCGTCTCTCCCTCGCGTTCGCGTTTCTTTTTCCTCAAAAATCATTTTCTTCCCATCGGAATTTGTTTTATCCTTCAAGTACATATCGGCAGGKTAAGTTAATTCATTTCATTACAAATTATATAATGCATTCTATATGCATTATATCCTCTCATCGTGCAATTTAAGTTTTAAAGCTAGTAGCGTTCGTGTTGGAATATTGATTTTACATTTAAACTGACTACCTATTATTAATTTCATCTTGTGACAGTAAGTAGAATAATTTAATAGCGAAATCATGTTGTTGTTTTAATCAGGATGTAACTCAGTTTTCAAAAACAATCAATTTCGAAACGTAATTTTATAGTTAATACAAATTTCCAAAGTCTTATAGAAAAATAAATGAGAAGGAGGTACTGCTGGTATTCTTTTCAATTTGAAAACTTTCCTTTGAGTATCTACCAAAGTATCTGCCCGTATCTTCTTCGAAAAGAGTAGGAAGAAAAAAGTTGGCAATTTTTAACGAGCCATCGGAGAAAAAGAAAGTCTCTCTCTCTCTCTCTCTCTCTCTCTCTCTCTCTCTCTCTCGTTCATTTCCTTTCCATGTTTAGAATAGTCCGAGGCACAGTTAGCGAAGGAGGAAAATATTGTTTCTTTTTCCAAAAAAGATGACAAAATTGCAATAATCCTACAAGATGAAGAATCAATTGTGGAGACTTTCCCTTTTGCGACTTTCGCCGAATGCAAATCCTTGGCGTATAGTTGACGCCCAAATACAGGTTATCGGTGTATTCGGACAAGGCTGTCTCAAGGCTGTCCGAATCATTCGATTTTCAATAAAAGATGGAATGGATGGATTCGTTTAAAAGGAGTATCATCGAACCTTCAACTGTATCGGAGTTCAAAAAAAGAAATGCGAGATCTATCATGAAATTCGATCGACGAGTATGATGGCGAAGAGCATGTTTTTAGGTGAAAAACCGCTTTGTAACTGGAGAATAATGCGAGTAACTGTAAACGAGAAGCCTTAGTGCAGTACCTGTAGTATAATACTGGTGGCGTTTGAAGAATTTACTTGGCAAATTTCTCAATTTCGTAGTTGTTGGACCAGCCTAATATATTAGGATATTTGTGTTTCTTTTAAGAAGAATCGTATCGAATGTTCAAAGAGAACGTTCCGTTTGCGAGTTTAATTATTTGCACAGACGTCGCATGCACGCATATGGTTTTTTATTCGACACCCGCCATACATACGTACGTTTATACACTTGTCTACTACTCGTTGTTCATTGTCTCGACCATCATCGACGAAGAAAAGAATAAAAAAAGGGACAAATAAATGTGTATTGTGACGCAATCAAGAACGTACTCGGAAGAAGAAGCAAATATGTAATATGTGTGACGAGGAGATCATAAGGATATTTTTCTTCTCGCAATATTCAAAACGTTCTTTTCTAAGATTATATTCGCAGAACTCTATTTACTAAGAGTGCTCCTCGTGATCGTGCTACCAGGTCGACATTGTTATATCAGTTTGCATAATCGATTCGCGCGGGTGCGTTCGCGAATATAAGGACGCAAACACGCCCACGAGATGAATATTAGCGAATTAATCGTTCAATGCGATCGAGATTTATTACATCTTCGATCCAATTATACATAGACAGGTATACGCAATTACGTAGAATTTTTGTTCTAAGGAAAATACGAGTACTTGGATATTGACGCGTTCGCGTATCGGTCCAAGGATCGATTTGTTATATTATTATTATTATACGCTGAAAGAGAACGAAGAAAGCTTTAGAATGTGATATCGCATAACAACCGGAAATCACGTGAAAGCTATTTTTAAGCTTGCAAAAGTGGTTCATTTAGAACGTAAGCAAAGCACTTGTGATAATATCGATAATAGACAAAAGATAGAACATAAAAGCATTTTGATAGGAGTTTCGAGTACACCACGCTAATTATTCTCATACTTTTTTCAATCAGGATCGTGTCGCACATTACGATTGTACAATTATTATTTATTCGATATGACGGCGATCGAACATTCCGAACAAAGGTTTGACTTTATTTTAGGATAGAAAGTATTTGAATGTTGATTATTTCATTTTTTATCGGAATTGATATCCGGAATATCCGGAAATATGTTCTTGTTATTCCTATGGTGTCGCATGACTTCTCGCGCGTACTTTTGCGCAGCTGTCCTGCTGTTCGTTCAATTTTCTTTTTTCGTAATATACTTTTTTCGTAATATACTTTTTTCGTAATATACTTTTTCGTAATACAAAGGAAAGAAATAAAATTGTAGATGATTCGGTAACTTCCGGCTTTGTAAGGGTAGTCTCCGTTATGTTGGCCTACCATGCAGCCTGTTGGACACGCGAACGATTTTCCGACGACAAGAACACCGTTGCAAAGCGACTCCCTCGACGCACGTGTCTCGCCTATTGATAAATCGATAACATTTCTTCAAACGCACACTCATGTACGTGCGCAGGATGCGTGTTTTGAAACATGGTTGCTACGAAACACCCACGATCTCGATCTAACGCAAAATAGGTTTCCTTTTCGTCGAGGGTTCAAACTGTCTCCCATTTTCTTCCTTCTTTTATATATGCTACCATTAATAATGATATGATATAAATAAATAATGATCATCGATAGAAATGAATTAGATTTCGCAAAACGATGAGTTCTCGCAAGTAAAGATGGGATATTTAAAGAATGGAACGGAACGGAACGGAAAACGTTTAATTCCCTTAACAATGTCCCGTCAGGAATGTTTTATGTTTGATCTGAACGTTTCGAATGACTCCACCTATCATATGACTTTATTTCTAGGGAAGAAGTTCAGGAGCATACGGTCAGGTGGAACGCCAAGTTCGAGTTCTGTTGTAAAATGAGTGCGAATGCGTCGACCGGTGTTCTCGATCCATGCATCCTAAGGATATCAGTAAGGAAGGTGAGTAAAAGAACGACACGAGTTAATGGTATAAACGATAGGATTGTTACAGTAGCCATTTCGATGGTTGTAGGAATTGAAGGGAGGCAGGTCCTTCCAGAGGTTAGGTTTTACCGACCTGAACCTTGCCGAATTCGCAGGAGCTGGTCTCTGTCGAAGGAGGTGTCTCCTCGAAGGTTACGACGCGAGACATCGTCAGGATAATTCTATGCTGAGAGTAGCCATTAAGATGAACATACGTTCCGGAGATATTCTCTTCAAAGTGTGAGTGTGTCCTAGGCGCCAAAGTTGGGTCTTTTTGCCAAAGGGCAAACGGTTAATCTTTACGATTGTGTCTTTTACCGCAGACCTTCGCCATCGTTAAAACAGACTCAACTAGCAGTTCCCGGTGTTCCCGGTGTGCCAGGAGTTACGGCCGACGAGGTGACCGCTGAAAGATGCAGCAACCGAGAAGATTACGTTTCTAGTGGTTCATTGGCTGGTAGTATAGCTAGCGCGAGCAGCGGTTTCGGTAGTCTTCCCAAGAAAAGGCCAGCACTTTTTTCCTCTGGTAAATATATATGAAAAAGAATACGTCAGCAGGAGGGGGCGGGGGGACCATTCTTAGGATACTTCGTTTAACGATGGTTTCTTGTAGAACTTCTCAGTGGTACGGAAACATACGATCAGATGACCCTCAGCGAGATCGTACCTTCGGCAATTCCGGTCGAAGCATTGACAGAAGCTCACACGGAATCGGGTCATTCGAGGAATAGCAGCAATACCAGTCAACTAAGCAAGGGATCGGGATATGGCTCCCTGAACTCGCACAGTCAGCACAGTAGACAGAGCAGCAGCGGGGACAGTGGCCATATTAGGTAAACACTCCGAATGGACCAAGGATAACTAATGAAATAGAACAATTATACAATTTGTAACTTTTTGTTAAGACAGAAATGGAGGAGTCTCCAACGAAAACGATAACTAGAATATCCTCTCGGTACGACATGAGACGTACACGTAAAACACGAATACTAATCTGTACAAAATACAAATGCGCGAACAAACATAAACGCATGGCTCGGAAGAGGGAGGGGAGTTTGGATGTTCTTCACGACTTTTTAACGCATTGCCTGCTGGATAACACACGATCAATTTACATTTGCTCTTCTTTTTTCTTTTTTTTCCTTTTTTTTCCTTTTTTTTCCTTTTTTTTTCCTTTTTTTTCTTTCTACGCGAAAGCCCTCTCGGTGCTATGATATTTCATTTGTAAACGAAACTTATAATATAATTCGTATAGATTTATAACAAAATTCGTCATCGATAATAATTATTATACCTCAGGCATGCGTAGAAGATTTATCAAAAGGTTTTTCATATTCGCTGTACTACACGCTTTTACCGACTACTAATAATTCCAATACGGATCTCTAATTGGAATGAGGGACCCTTCGCACTTTTTTCACACTTATTACACTTTCATATTTTTTAATCAACTACTTTCTCGTATCTTTTCTTCTCATTACTTATCTCTCTTTCTTTTCCTTCTAAGCCCCACCCAAAAAGAAAATCATTGAAATTGAATCGTACCTTAGATGTTAGACAATTATTCATATTATTATTTATGATTTATGCATGCTTGAAGAAAAAAAGAAGAAATTTGTGTTGTGATCTTTATAGGTCACCCTCCTGGCCGGTATGGGCACCACGTATCCCAAATCATTCCCAAAATCCTCCAAACTATCCTAACATACGGTCCGAAACATCCTTCGAACCAAGACCACCGTCGCCGCCAACGTCTTCGATGATGCTCGTTGATCCAAGAACCCGATTCTGGTCCACGTCTAGTAGTCCACTTTCCTCTCGGATCATGAGAAACGGTACGGATAAGAGGAGTACTGGTGCTGGTGCTGCAACTACTACCACTGCTACGAAATCGATCTTGGCCGATAAGGGGAACGACGAAAGTAACGTTGTCGCGGCAGCTGTTAATCCTAACGTACAATTTGCAAAGAACTTAACTGAATCGAGTTCCCAAAGAAACGGAGGAATTTCCATTGAGGAACGTTACGAAGCTGCCGCCAACGTGTTCAAGGTACCCGGACCCCAAGACGTGCCTCGACATTCCCGACAAAATTACGAAAGGGTTAACAGTTTCGAAGCACGCAATGAACGCAACAGTATAGGAAGTTTAGGACAACGGAACGATCGAGAGGAAATAATCAGTCGAGTTATCGTACCAATCGCAAAACCGAGAATCGGTCAACCAGGCTGGCGTAGCATATCGAAGACCTGCGATTGTATAGAAAAGAGACAAACTAGCCCAGTTTTGCGATTGGTTGATCAAGCCAGGGCCGTATCCTCTCCCGATCCTCTCCATAGGCCTGACAATCCTAGAGCATCCCTACGCTCCGCGACGACGACTCAGACCCTCAGGTAGGTCTTCGTTCATCGTTCATCATTCATCGTTCATCACTCATCGTCTCGCGTACATCTATCACTCTTTTTTCTTAATATTATTTTCCGCAACATCTATTTCTACATTATTATTTCCGTCTTTCCATTTTTATCTTCATCATCGAGCAACCCCTTCGAGACGATTCTATGAACGAATCCAATATTTTTACATTCCTCTCTGATATTGGTTTATTTGTTTTTCTTTCTATATTATCATTTCTATTTTGTTGAATTATTGTTAGGTGTATTTTCGAAATACAGATGAAAGTTGGAGAAACGTTGCATGTTACGATAATCAGAAATGAATCGGTCGATCGATTAAAGGATTCGATCGGCTGGTTTCCTTTTGTCCTCGCTCTTGCTTTAGTTTCTCCTTTGGGTTTTTGGTTTATTTTTGATAAAGGTAACGAACGTGTGGTGTGTTGTACGTCGGCTAACCTTTAACCAAAAGGTGTGAGTAGTGATCCACAATTGGGAAGCTTTCTAAGAGACCAGTCAAATTATTCCTAAACGATGTAACAATTTATTTAAGTATTTACACAGGGTAAGACATTTTAATCGGAACATCCAAATATCTCCCTTATTTATAGTTTTATAAAAACAATTTGTAAGGTTAAGTTGCAGTATTGGAAGGGCTAAATCTACGGGTAAGGACATTATTTTTTCTTATATGAATTCAATTATACTCGTACTTATACTTATTGTAAGATCTTATATACTGTCAAATACTCGATTCGAATGGCGATTAAAATGCCGCACCCTGTACACGTATTTATAACTTGCTACATTTATCTTATCAAGCAGAACTTACGAAAGTCGTCTAATTATAGGAAGAACATCCTGCTCGTTTTGTCTACCACGATCATAACGGTGGTGTAAGATCGGGACCTCGATCATACTTTCATTTGCTTTTTACAAATGCATACGTATAACATAAAATAATCGATGTACATACGCAGATAAGTCAGTGTTATTACCATTATCATTATCGTGCTAGTATAAAACATTGAGGAAGAATATAAGAAAATTATAAAATTATTTGGGTCGAGTGAAAAGTATGCCTGAATTATATCGCTAAAGAAATGAAGCAAGTATCGAACAATTGAGAGAACGCAAGCTTTGCTTACAGTTCTGGATGGCTTTGTGAATCCTTGCAGGGGTATCGGCGGAGGTCACCGGAAGTTGCTGGACGGGGCGGGGGGCAAGCTGGCTACGGTCGCCACCAGCCCAGCGGACTCCGAGGAGTCCTCCTTAGGGGTACCGGAAGTCGCTCCACCAAGCTCGCAACACCGAAACAGCATAACCCCACCGTCAGTCCATGCTTTCGTCTCTTATCTGCATTTTTATCCTTTTTGTTTTTTGTCTTTTGTCATTATCCTTATATTATTATTATCCTTTTTCCTCGCCTTGCACAATTTTAGATAGAACGATAACGCTTTATTGTTTTTCTTCTTCTTCAAAAGTCTTGGAATTGTAATTTTGACAAAGTCTGGATATTTTTCTTTTCTTCGAAATGAATTTTGGTAGGAGAGGGTGTTCAGGATGCGATGCGTTCGACAAGTTGATCATGACAATTTGAGCATCTTCGTTTCTATCATTTTTCATGCACCAACCAGCTTTGCTAATTATCGAACACTTGTTGTCGTCAATGTGTAGTGGCATGAAAATAATTGCACTTGGATGGGATTTATATTCCTTGATTATTCAGCTTCCATGCACAAGTCGTTTCCCCGTATCGTCTTATTAGAGAATTACGTATAATTATATATCTAAATATATATTACGTATATATGTGTATACACATGCAATCGTCTCGAATATTACGGCTGCACGATCACTGTTCTTTTCTATCTTACTTTTTTTTCTTGCTATCCGCATCGCGTACGAATATTTATTTTTATTTTCATTTATGTTCAATCATTAGCAACGATAATAATAATAATAATAATAATAATAATAATAATAATAATAAATGAACGTAATTTTGATCCGTCTCGTACGTGAGATACGCGAAAATCTTTCACTTTTTAATTATAAATATAGAATTGATAGAAAATATACAGAAGAACTTGACAGAAGAGCTTGATTTTTTCAATAATGATTTATTTAATCGCATATACAGAAACCCTTCAGGAGGTTCGGGTTTAAGCGAAACTGGATCCTTGGATCGTGCTAAAGCTGCGCTGGAGCGACGGAAAAAAGCCGAAGATGGTACAGGAAATCCTAGCTTGTGCAGGATCGAAGTCACCAGACCTAATCCAGATTCATTGATCGATGAACTGATTAAGGCCACGAATTTGGAACAAACGGATCTCGAAAGTTCTGAGAGTATGATTATAACAATTATGTAAATGTAATCGAAGCTTTTCAATAAATACCTAAGAGAACTAAGCTACTCTTGTACTTTGTTTTTTTTTTTCAGCAACCGGTTTGCAGTTGTTCATAGCAAAAGATGGAACAACGGCGTTGGGTAGTCACGAAGTGAAGAGTCAGATGCCCGCGGGTGTGTTCAAGCAGGTGGTGATGGAAGAAAACAATAGGTAACACCAAGCCATCTCGTCGAGGCGGCAATATGCTAGGCAGCCCAGCACAACGTTCTCATTGGCCTTGGTGCCTGAACTCATCTACGAGGCCTACGAGCCGCGGTAGTCACGATGGAGAACAACTTCTTGTTCTTCGAGTCGAATAAGAAAAAAAACAAAAACGAAAACTTCCATCTAGCGACATTATTTTATATTAATTATTCTTTTTTTTTTTTATCTCAGCAACAAATGAGACGAAGATGTTGCGTTCTTTTCAAAATCACACTATTTTTCCTATAATATATACACCTATATATACATCATTTCGTACAGAGAATATTGTACGCGTACGTACAATTTTTTTTCGTTACAATTATTTACAATACTGTCGAGAAGAAGAAGAAAAAGATGATGATGACGATGAAGGAAAAAGGGAAAGATATAAGATTTATCACTATTATTATTATTATTATTATTATTATTATCATTATTATTATTAATATTAATATTAATGTAAGGACGATGAGATTTTCTTGCGAGATGGAAGGAACTCGTGAGTATTACAAAAAGAAATAAAACAAAATAGAAAAAAAGAAAGAAAAAAAGAGTGAGAGAGAAAGACGTATATTATGGTAAAGAATGAATGAATGAATGGAAAACAATAATTCAAAGATATACACATATTTTCTTCCGTGAAACTGAAGCACAATTGATACATACATACATATATATATATATATATATATGTATATTATTCTCGTCGGACCGGTCGTGCTTCATGCGCGCGTGAAGCTTTAGTCAATACTATTTTAGACGAGAGACTACGATGTCGTGATAATAAAATCAACATATTAGTTTTAAGGATAAAATTATTGACAACACGAAAACATGGGGATTATAACAACGGTGATTTGATTGATAATACTGAACGAGGCCCTACGACATTTCGACTAATCTTTATTTTTAATTATTAATATTATTATTATTAATATTATTATTATTATATTAATATTATTATATTATTGTTATTATATTATTATTATTATTATTATTATTATTATTATTGAATACTGTAAAGCGGACTTATGTTCGTTTTAATTTCGATTTACATGTGATTATTGTATGTGTTACAAAAAAGAAAAAAAAAAAGAAAAAAATTAGGTCCGTGAATATAACGTATATTTTTTTAACTCGTTTAATTTCATTTCATTTAATGCGGTTGAAATAAATTGTAGATTTTCCTTACAAGCTTTGCAAATTGTATATTCTGAGATTTTGTTGTAATCGATCAAAATATTATTTAGTTTCGGAAAACTACTAATAAGTACTCCGCCTTACAGTAACTCACTCGACGTTTATTTTCCTCCGCCCTGAACAAAAAAAAAAGAAAACAAAGAAAATGGAATCAAATGAAATCTAATCTAATAAAATCATTTCCACAAAAAAAGGACTTTGCATATAAATGGAAGGGCCAAACGACTCTCGCGGAGAAGGAAATGGCATAAATAATAAATTAGGAAAAATGATTGCCCGTTAAGAAGAGAAAGAGAAAAATGAGAAATCCCTTTTCGTGAGGTTTAATTTGATATAAAAGAAACCGGTTCATTGTCAGATTTGTTTTAGCAAACACTTGTACATATAGTAATTAGTAATTGTTACATAGATAAATGGCTGGTGTTATATAAAAAAATACGTTTTCTCCGTAACTTACACATCCACACATAGACACCAACAAACGCATTCAAATACAACATAATAATCTATAAGCGATATGATGTCCTTTTGAAAGAAAAAAAGAAAAAAAAATCGACGAGGGCACAGAAGCGCTGTTTCGTGGTTTCGACTGAAAAATTGACAAGAACAAATAAAACTATCAGAATAAAAAAATTAACGCGTACACGAGGGTGTGTGTATATGTTACAGTCAATGTAATTTAATATTATTTTGTCAGAGTTTTGTCAGGGTGAAGGAGGCCTGAGAATGCCCGGATTATACACATTGACCATAATTATATATATATATAAATCAGTGGGAGGAAAATTTGAATTTCAAAGCCCTCCATGTATTTTTATTCATATCTAGAAATATCTTTTTCTTTTTTATTAAACAAACCCTTCAATAATAGAACATTAATTATAGGATTTCGGGGTCCTCTATTTTTGCCCATAAAAAAGAAAGAAAATTTGCCTCTTTGCCCATAGAATAATTCACCGCTGATATATATGTTTGCAAAGAAAATTGCAATATTTAAATCGCTGAACGTTTGTAATGAAATTTGGAAAGAGATCGATCGCTCGTTTCGCTCTTTAAATTCTAAAGTATATATATATGTATCTATATACATATATACTCTTGAAAAGAAACATGTAATGATTAGAAATTATTCTTTGTTGGATCGATTCGTCAAAGATAATTATAAAGGAAGAGGAATTGATATTAAAAAGATTCATGATCAATCGTAAATTCGTGCGTATAAAGAAAAGAGAGAGAAAAATATTAATAATAATTAATAAAAAAAAGATAAAATAGAAAAGAAACAAATGGGAATAAAAAATAAATCGAGGTAAACGTTCTAGCAGACGTTTCATGGCGATTATGATAATGAGGACGATGGATGAAGATGAAGATGAAGATAAAGATGATGATGATGATGATGATGATGATGATGATGGTGATGATGATGGTGGTATACTCGCGCCTTATCACGCTTTTTAATCGTGATATTGTAACATACGATAAATTCACACAATAATCGTATATACTTTGTTCGTTGGAACTTCTTTTTTTCTTCATCTCTCGTCGTCTATATTAATTAACTTTTCATATATTTATACATTTTTTCCTCTCTTTTCCACCTATTTATTCTATTACGATACTCAAACACACCCTTCAAACATATTATCTTGTTGAATATACGGAAGGTACTCTTTCTCGATCTTTGGGGAGTTTTATTTTATTTTTCTTCTAATAATATACGACGAGGGTGTAGAATGATATTATTATTATTATTATTATTATTATTATTATTATTATTATTACTACTACTACTACTACTACTACTACTACTACTACTACTACTACTACTCCTCCTCCTCCTACTACTACTACTACTACTACTACTACTACTACTACTACTATTATTATAATTATTATTATTTTGTTCTTTATTGCTACACGATGTAGCGCAAAGTTTGAGTCACGCAAACACTTTCGCGCGAGGAAATGAAAAGAATTATAATGAAAAAATAAAAAATCTACATAAAAAGGAGAAATAGAGAAAGAGAGAGAGAGAGAGAGAGTGCGTACGTAAGTGTTATGATACGCGTGGTGTACATTTCCTCGCAAGTAGTATTGTACAAAAATGGTATATAAAAAAAAAAGCAAAAAAAAATTGCGATGATAAAACGTAAATGATGCCACGTTAAACTTTTTTGCGTCTTGCCTCCTCGCCCCGTCGGATATTAATTATTGTGATATTTTATGATAATGTATAATGATAGTCCGCGCTCTATATATATATATATTTCCTTTGTATTATTATTATTATTATTAGTAATATTATTGTAAATTATGTTTTTTTTACTATGAAAAAGAGAAAAACTCGAGTGGCCAGAATTTTCGTCCTTTCTCCTTCCCACCCCCTTACCAACCTTGACTCATTGTATATTCATTTTAGAATGAACCTTTCGTTGAGTCAATTGTTGAATTTCCTACTTGTTTTGTTTCTTCTCTTCCGTTTTTCGCGAGATGTGGATGTAAAACTTCCATAATATGTGCTGATAATAACACATTTGAAAATCAATATCTCATTTTCGACTTTGTCTATTTTTTGAAGCCCCTCTACCTGTAAATATAAAATTCAATTATTGTTAGATAAGCAAAGAAAATAAGGAAAAAGGAATGTCCAAGGATAATGGTCGTAGGAATATGCGCATAATTTACAATCGAAAGATCGAGTTTTGTCGTAGAATTATGATTGTGCAATCGATTCATTTGTATTCTTATCTAATTGCTAGCATATTTTTCTTCTTTATTTTATTCTTATAATTATTCGAAGTGTTGTTGTTGTTGTTTTGAACTGGATTGTAAATAAAAGTGAAACTCGTTAGAGAGATGAAAAAGGATGCTGAAATTGGATGAATTTACGTGTTTTATTGAAAATATTCGGAAGAGAATACAAGGCACGAACGGTTCGCGTGTTCTCTTATGCACTCAAATTCTATCTGAAACTGTGATCCTTGTTGAACTATATTATTTATGTTAATTGGAAAGAGAAAAGTACTTTCTCTATATTCATTTAAAAACGATCATTGCGATGACGTAACATTCGTTTCAAGATATCGATATATATATTTACATTTAGAAATACGCGTGACATTATAACGGGCTCTTATGCTAACGCTTTTACGGTACGATTCTATTCGCAACTTCTTGCAATGTCTTTCGATGGAAAATCCTATGGAATATTATAGCTAAGGTACTCGTAAGTCATACGCACACGGGATCGCATTAAAAATTGAAACATTCAGAAATTATTTATAACTTAATACGATAGTACAATCGTTGAAATTTTTTCTAAGAAATCGTTGACGTAAACGTTTTGCACGTGCAGTTTGCAATTTATCTTTGATATTTGTATAGGCACAGTGCGAAATATTATCGAAGTTGAGTAAATTTGCGACACCGATTGTGTATCGAACATAATTAATCCTTTGAACGTGTTCTGCCCTGCCGTGCCGTTCCTTCTCTCGCCTTGTTTTTTTTTACGAGTTTGTTTTTACGAGTTATTCATTTTTTTCCCAATTTTCCTCATTAAAAGTTGTTTTGTTTTGTCTCATTATTTTAATAAAAATCATTTTGGATAAACGTTAGATCATCGTATAGAAAAATGAAGTAACCACGAAAGGATATTAAATCAAGATTTGAATTAGTTTTTACATTCAGAAACAAATTTATCATAAATCAGGTGTTTTTAGGTGTTATTTTTACGATACATCTCATTTTTCAATAGTTAATAAGAACAAGTTGCAATTATTTAAATATGTCGAAATTTGTGCCAAATGAAATGTTTTTGCGGGAAGTTTTACTCCATTTTTGGACAGGCAAAATAATGTGCAGATAAAGAATTGAAGGAAAACATCCGGGGTCGAATATTGTTGCAGGTGGGGATTAAATGTGAAACGAGCGCAAAACTTAATTAAGCAAATACTTAATGAAGCATTTGCGAAGGGATTGGACGGTGCTGAATGGATGAAGAGCAGTCGCCTGGAAAGCGAATCGTGCTTCGAATCTAGTGGCTCAATTTTCTCTACAATCTTACAATATTATAAGATTTTGTTCAATTGTAAATTATTACAATCGTATATCACGGATTAATCGGAAGTGTTTCAAATGTTATATCATAGATGAAGAAAAAGGAATGATATGGCGAATATGTACTTTATTGCATAACAAACGAACGAAGAAACATATTGTGAAATGCGCGCAAACAGACAATTGCACTTTATTCTTTTTCGTTGAACATTTTATATTTATATTGGCTTTTTTTCATTGATCGTAAGAAGATGGGACGTATTGCAAAAAAAATAATGTTTCATTGGTTTTTCTTTTGTTTCTTTAACTTACGATCAAATATTATGAAGACGATAATATTAACACATTGCGTACGGCGCTCTGCGCGGTCAAACCGCGCTCAAACCGCGCTCAAAACCCGCACATTTCCGAACGCTGTAGCAGCATGCTTCTTCGCGAGCAATCTAAAGCGGATACATACAATTCTAATTTGTTTTTTTTGGTATTATATTCACATATATTATTTTTAAGCATGCGTGAGGCTTTGTTATCTTGGTAACGCATCAATCTATTTGCCATTGCTTGTCTTACGTTAACGATTACTCGAAATAAAACATGAGAACGAGATATCTCGTTTTTATGCACTCAACCTTTGCGTAGGGTCACGAGATTTCTCGTTTTTATGCACTCAACCGTTGCCTAGGGTCACAAGATATCTCGTTCTCATGTTTTATTTCGACTAATCGTTAACATAAACAAGCAATGGCAAATAGATTGATGCGTTACCAAGATAACAAAGCCTCACGCATGCTTAAAAATAATATATGTGAATATAATACCAAAAAAAACAAATTAGAATTGTATGTATCCGCTTTAGATTGCTCGCCAAGAAGCATGCTGCTACAGCGTTCGGAAATGTTTGGGGGTTTTGAGCGCGGTTTGACCGCGGTTTGACCGCGGTTTGACCGCGCAGAGCGCCGTACGCAATGTGTTAATATTCCGCTCGTTCTTTTCTTTTTCGGGAGAACAAAGATCCTTCTACTTCTCGGAAAATAAATACGAACTGACTAAAATCAAATATACCGCGAACTTACGTTCAAAGAAAGAACAGAATGATTTGACAAAATAAGAAAAACTTTGGTGGTATATATTTGAAGTGAGCTCATGAAAGAATAATTGAGAAAATAAGGCAAAGGTTTGAATTCTTTTTTGAATTCTTTTTTGAACGAACTAAACGTAGATTCGAGCTGGTGGTAACCACAAATTAGACACGAATGATTGTTTCTACTTAAATAATATGATTTCATGTACCGAAACGATGAGGAAGTCTTTGAAGAAATATACCGAGCGAAAGTTTTCGTTTGAAATACGCTTAAATATCTTTTATCCGAAATAAAATCGTATATTGACAAAGTTTCTTTGTATTTCCTGGATAGATGGTAACAATATTCATCGTATCTGGATATATATAGTTGGTTGGATTTTTGAAAAATTGATATGTTATTTTTGGAAGAAAATAGAAAAGCTAAGTATTCGAGGTACCCTGTGGATGGTTGCAGTAGACGACGGTGGTAGGACCACCGTAATGGTGCCAATGGTGATGGTGGTGGTGGTGGTGGTGCTGCTGCTGGTAGTGGGGATGAATAGTTAAAAAGACAGTCAATCATCGGTTACATTTCACTTGGATTCTGCGATTACTTTTCATCAAGTACAAGTAGTTCTTTCACGTTCATCAGGAATTATTCGTCGAGTATAATTTCATTTGCTTATGCGATTTCTTTTTTTTCCTATTGTCATTGTCTTATTTATTTCTTTGTATTTTTCAATATTTTTACCTACATAAAAATCGTTCTTCAAAATGATCCTGCAAACTTCTCGCAACGTTTAAGTAAAAAAGGATCAAGTACATCAGCCTAAGAAGACGAGCCTTCTTCCAAGGAAGAAAATATAGAAACGATCAGAAAGGAAAGCAACATTTATCAATTTCCTCTTGATTTGTTCTTTCTCTTTTTCCTTTTTTTCATTCCCAGGTGAGCAATGAATTTTCTCAATATTTCATTTAATACCATAATCTTTATATCGCCAAATTATCCATATCCGAAAATAATAAAAAGAAGTAAAGTATTATTAATCGTTCAATGACCAGGTACCACCAGTTGATATTGTTCCCAAAACTGAAGAGGTTTTTACCGAAAATAAGAAGTAACGAGCAGTATCCCCCCTATTGATAAAAGTGAAGAACGAAAATGGCACGTCCAGGGCACCTCGTCCTCCTGTTGCTCGCGTATCTCATACCATTTTCTTTCTTTCTTAATTATACTTCGGCAAATGAAACGAAACAATTAAAGATCGGTATGTTACCAATTTATGCTATGTTGGCAAACGCAGATCTATTAAACTCGACCCAATGCGGCAAAGAACTGAAGGATTTTCGAGAAGCTATTGATCAAAAAATACTCTGGGCTCTAAAAGGTTCGTGGAACTTACGAAAAATCTCTACTATTATTATTATTATTAACTCAATATTTAAATAACCATTAACAAATTGTCCCTTCATTTTATTTCTTTCATTTCCTCGTGGACTTTGTCCATTAAAGAGAAAAAATAGGTCCGCGAAATTCAAATTTTTCATCCGAAAAATGATCCTTTCCGAGTGAATTGCAATTCAATTATTTCAAATTACTTTGAAGTCATTTCCGTCAAGAGTACGCTCTCGAAGGCGCTCAAAAAAGGACAAATGCCTGCAGTAGTTAATTCAAACGAATCAAGTTATTTCGTCATTCTTTTTACAGTCGAATAAAACGTTTATAGTTAGAATGACGAAATAAACTAGTTAACTATTTAGGATAGGAGCCATTATTTTTCCTTTTTCTTCAGCAAAGAAAAAAAGAAAGTAAAAAATTGTGTAGCCTATTGAACTATTTTCGTTGATTTCATAATAATTTTCGTATTATAAGTGAAAATGTCGATGCCTGCGAATAGGCAACCATATAAACGACGAAGCGATTAACATTTTTCTTCTTATTTTTTGATGAAGTACTCGATGCAAGCGGTGAGCCAATGTCAGGATTCGTTTATGGAAATAATTATTGGTTGGGTAGCAGAAGCCAATGCGAAGATGCAAACAACAAAAGTCCCTTCCTGTTAACGGAAACGGAATTACGAAACAATTCGAGATATCGTCGCATAGAGGATGAATTTCCACCGTACGAAGTGAAATACTTTGTAGCTAATTTTCGACACAATAGCACTTTGCAATACCACATCGTATTACAGGGAGAAGTAAGTTCCTATTGAAAATCTTATTTTAATAATTCGGTCAAATCTTCTTTCCGTTTTTCTCTAGGATTTAATAACACTCGGCATGTGTTTACCCGCTTCCTGTTTGAAGGATCAACTTTCAATTCTTCTCGAAACCGTATTCCGGAATAGAATTCTTTTAATAGGTCAACTATATTCAGCCGACTTTACATTAGTTGAAGTAAAAGATCTAATCGATGACCATCAATGGTCATTGAATGAAACATTTATTACGATGACGTATGCCAATAATTATTATCTCCCCTCGTAAAATATAGAATACAATTATGTCGATTTTGTTTGTTCCTTTTTCAGGATAATAGTGGTACTCACGTTCCTATTAATGATAATAGGAACGGCCTATGACGTTCTGATATATCAAAGACGTTTGAAAAAATATTACAAATATTTTCAAACTAATGCAAATATTAATCCTCTAGCGATTGGTAAATACATCTATAATAATATCATATCAAATTATCCTTGGAATATTATTATATGGATTCCTTGTAACAGTTCATATTTTCATTTTTCTCAGATAAAGAACAAACGCTACACGAGGATATACAAAATGAGATGGAGAAATTGAGATCCCTGAATTTTGTTTGTAAAGTATTCCAAGCTTTTTCCGTATACTCGAACTCGAAAATAATATTTAGTCATAAGACTGGGGAAAATTCTGTACTGATTATACACGGATTAAGATTTATTATGATAGGATGGACTATTTTGGCACACACGATCTTTTTTACGAAAGAGTATTTTGGTAAAGTAACGACAATTATGATTCAATTGAATATTTACGTAATACAATTATATTTATCTTGACTTTCTCTCTCTCTCTCTCTCTCTCTCTTTCTTTATGATCGATCAAAGACAATAAGCCGACGGCTTGGAGAAAGTCGGAGGGTTTCTTCGCCCAATTGATAACCAACGCGCCCATATCGGTTGATACTTTTTTTTTTCTTGGTGGATTTTTGCTTGCTTACGTATATCTAAAGAATGAAATAGGGGGCAAAGATAAACGTAAACCTTACAATTATCTAAATACAATAAAGTTATATTTTCTGATTCTCCTGAAAAGGTTTCTCAGGTAGGTCTATTTTGTCAAATAACAATTGAAAACATTGATAATATAATATTAATGACCCGTATAGTGGTCGCTCATAAATACGACCTTTTGCCTTGTGCAACCTGTATATGAGAGATTTATATCGAATATATGCAAAAATATCGCTTTCCTTCAAAATTACCTTATAACATATTTATTTATTTATTATTTTCTTTATCTCGAATTATCGAGTAAAGCGGTATGGTTCTCTCTCTGCAAAAATTTCCTTATAATTAGAAATAGAATGATTTGAAATAAGTACCTTATCTTTCTCCCTTTATTCTTCCAATTTAGACTAACACCGACATACATGATAGTAATAGGATTATTGGAAATAAATGCAACGTGGTACAGTAAAATTTCCGTGTTCTATATGATCGAACGTCCACACGAAACTTGCTCAAAATATTGGTGGAGAAACCTTCTTTATATTCAGAATCTTTTTAACAGCCAAGAAATGGTACGGACCTATGCTTTTGTCAATTTTCAATATTATCGTATTAATTAATATATTAATTTAATTAATCTTTGCAGTGTATGAGTTGGAGTTGGTACTTGGCGGACGACATGCAATTCTTCGTGATTAGTTCTTTCCTCTTATTATTATCTTCCATGTAATACTCTCCACATTCTAATGAACATATTAAACATATTTCCTAGCGTAAACCATTCCAATCGATCAAATCAAATTCTATTCCAGGTACTTCAAAGTAGCAGCCAGTCTGCTCGGTCTATTGTTTATGTCATCGATGATTCTAACAGGCTATATAGCCTACATTAATGATTATATTCCTACGTAAATATCAAAATATTCATGATTATTATACCTATAAAAACATTGAATCCTTTCGTTACTAGCGATCGATATAGGATTCCTATAATTCCTATAATCGACAATAAATTTGTAGGAGCAAATATATTTATGGAACGATAAGAAAAGTATGCTGTAACGAAAGGGTTAATCGATCAATAAATTGAAATTTCATCATTTTATAGATTGGACAAACAATACAATTTCATAGATGAGCTATACTTTCCTCCATGGGTTAGAATAGGACCTTATCTTGTGGGAGTGATCACTGGGTATATACTTGTCAAATTAAAGAACAAATTAAATTTTAAAAAGGTACCAAATATTCCTGAATTTACTTTGCTTACAAATACTTCATGATGAAATCATTTTCTTCGTGATGTTGATGACTGATTTTAGAAAACATTAATACTCTTCTGGATACTTGGCAGTTCTTGCAGCTTATTAGCACTTTTTGGAATATATCGAAGAAGGATATCAATTTTAGCTGCTACCTTTTACGCTGCTCTCGGTAGAACTATTTGGGCAATTGGCATCGCATGGCTCGTAATAGCTTGTTCTACAAATAACGGAGGTACAAATAAAAATCTGATTCGATTCTTCCGTTTGACATTATAATTACATCATTTCTTTTATTAGGTATATTGAATCGTATTCTTTCGTTCAAAGTTTGGATCCCGCTAAGTAGATTGACTTACACAGTATACTTGATAAATCCAATTCTTATAACTTCTATACAGTTATTCAGTGAAACTTCCCGTCACATTGATTTTCTAATAAACGTTTGTATCCTTTTTTATTTTTATTATACCGATAGATTTATATTCAATGGAATTAATTATAATCATTTTTTTTTGTTTTATTTTTCAGGGGGTGTCATTTCTAGGATACATCTTGTTAAGTTACATATGTTCTTACGTATTATCGTTAATGTTCGAAACACCTTACATGATTTTGGTAAAGGAAGGGATGAACTACTTGAATATTAAAACATAATTCCTTATCCCCTTTTATGGAATATTTTTGTCGACAACAACACAACAACTATTCTTCGATGTTTTCATTCATTTATTGGAAAATGTATACGTTTTGTTAATTCATTTGTTTTTTTCTTATCAATGATAACGATCTAACGATCGATCGTTCGAAAGACTCAACTCTCTTCACTCGCGCGTGCACAAATATCTATGTGAATATTATATACATATATATTATATTTATATTATATAATATTTATATTATATAATATTTATATTATTATATCGAATGTAATTGTGTAGTATGGTCAACATAAATTGCATCGTGACCCGAATTGACCTTTCGATACCNATTTATATTATTATATATATATATATATATATTTATTTATTTATTTGTTTTCTTTTGACAATTTATAAATTTCTTTTATCAAGAGGCATTCATTTTGTACAACAGCGAAGCACAAGTTCATCAGTAAAAATATCTTGTATATACCGACTTAAAAAGAGACAATAAGCGTAAGGGGGGGGGCACATTTACAAAACTACAGATCCTTAAACGCGTAAGATATTCTCGCCGTGCTATGAGTGAACCGGGGAATGTATCCTAGGTGGTGCAGGCGAGGTCAGAGATCGATTAGCTCGAGATGCTTGTTCGCGTCGACCTTCTTCCAGTTGTTTCTCAAGCTGTTCTTTCAAGACTAGAAGTTCTCTCGTTCGTTGATAAACAGGATCCTGAAGTGATAATATTGCCGATAAAAGGATAAAGGAAGATCTATTCGATATGATTTGATCAATAAACAAACCTGCTGTCTCATAATGGGATTCCATCTACAATAAAGACCTTTCCAAGGTTTGATATACCTCATACTTGCAACTGGCATTAGAACTAATTGATTATGTGGCCCAGCCCAGTACAAAGGGTTTTGGTATAGGGATAATTGACTATTCGTATAGGACCATAACGAGACGGTTCTTTGTTTTATCTGTTCTTGTACTCTTTCGCGTTCGCTTAAAACGAAAGAACGAATAAATAAAAGCGATGATTTAATATGGAAATGCTGTTTAAGTGCAATTATATATATATATATATACCTGCTGAATAAAAACGTGCCAAATCTGCAAGAGTAAAGATGATCGAGTATAGTGATTAAAAAGTGCTCGTTGAACTCAAACGCATTAGCAAATTGTCGCGTTATTTGCCATACGCAATCCATGAATTGTAAAAATACTGGAGAACGATCAGCATCGCTATGGTGTTCGTCGCCATGACCGATCCTCTGTAAAAAATGTATTACAAGATTCTACAAGCATAAAATTGTTAAATAATCATTATGTAAATATGAACAACCTGTTGAAATTTATGTCCAAAACTAAGCCATTCCTTTTCTATAAGAACTTCAAATCCTTTAATTGTCCTGTAATATGGATCCAACATCAACATGGCAAGAGCTGTTAACTATAACACATTAATCATATATATTTCAAATTTTATTATGATGATAATCATTGAGATATTGTATTGTTATTACTTGGGCTGTTCGATCCCATCCATCAGAGCAGTGTACGAGTACGGATGTCTTATGATTTTCTACTTTATCCACAATTCTAACTGCTCCAGCGAGAACACATTTAATATGTTTAAGCCACATGGTGGATTCTATGCCGGATAACCATTTAGCTTCATCGATTTTAGGAAAACATAATTCTATGATAAAACGTACTCGTTAGTCCGAATTATTTTTTAATAGAAAAATTCTAAAGACAAATCGTTCATATGCTATATTATTAATAATACCTTTCAATTTTCTCAGGCTCTCTCTCATAACGTGAATATTATGAATATCAAGAAAAACAAGCTCAGCGTTTTGATAAGCATCCTCACTTTCGTAACCACCACCTTTCGCTTTATTCGCTATTGCATTAGGCATTGGTCGAGCATCCATTATAAATAGTTTATGGCTTTGCGCATTGGCATCCATTATTAACTGCACGTACCTCTCATCCTCGCGACTTCTTTTACCTCCAACACCTACTAACGGTTGTGCGCAACGCGTTATCGTCGCTTGACTTTCTGGATGAATCCATGAAAGTACCGGCAATCTTCCTCTACTTCTAAATGCTGCAGATGCTTGCAAATCTTCATCCGTTGCAGCTGCAGGTACCGCCCAAACTGCTGGATAACTATCGGCTAGTGTATAGGTGTCATTAATCTTAGATATTTTCCACATGTCATTATTTACACCCTATAATTAAATGTTAACAAAAAATCTATGTGAGATTGCAATTAAACGTGTTTAATCAAATATACGTAGATGTCTTAGAAATAAGCAAGCCCCTTACCATTCGTTTCAATTCGGCTATGGGTTCGTAAACGTTCCATCCATTTTCGGGAAACGTTTCGGAATATTCAAACGCAAATAACGGTAATTTATGCGACAACGGGAACGAATATTGTTGCAGTTTTTCAAAGACATCTCTTCTAGAATGATTTTCCTGTTTATGAGCGAATCGAAGATTTCTCATGTCCTTACAAAACACTTCGATACCATAAGAATTTTCTCTTCTGCTAGACGCGCCGCCAACCTTTTCGATTCTACTAACAACTCCCAAGGGCACTTCCACGACATAAGGCGTTTCACGGTCTACACTACGAAAGTGGAGTTTATAATTTGTAACACTAAGAATTCCTCCAGCTGGACCCGAATAAGGACACAAGTAGGTCACTTCTTGAGCGATGCCTTGAACTCTTTCTCCATTTAAGAGCGGCGGACCTGTATCATTTCCTGATAGATTCTGTGCAAAATAATTTCATGATAAATTTCATCGGACAGATGAAAATATAAATTTAATACGATACATAAGGGTTTCTATCAACGAACAAATATTCTACCAAAAATGTGTGATAAAAAGTAAAAGTGAAGGAGAATGATTGTCTTTTTTCTTTTAACATTTATACATTGGGATTTTTTCGGATGAAACTTAAATCTAGCAACAGCAGTTCATAACAAACAGAAATATAAAAATAAGAAATTAAAATTATACGTTCCAACTAAGACCACTTGTTGTTTGTTTAATTCGATAAGACTCACTTTTACTTGATTGTCTTTTTTTGCCTCCAAAGCGGAAACAATATTATTATCTGTAGAAGTGGAACTCGAAGAAAAGCTTTTCGAATGAGACGCTTTTTCCCAACTCTCCTAAGAAATCGAGTTAAGAGACGCAGCATGAAATCAATTTGCTGAATTAGAACAAATTATGAAAAAGGCTTGTCATGTTTTTTTCCTTTTTTTAACTACTGAATAATCTTAGATGTAATACCGATTCTTGACCCATCTTTGAATTGAGTGAACTGCTTTTGCTGTCTGAATTAAGGGAATCTGAACTGGCATTTTTTGAGTTGTTTTTCTCTACATTCAGGAGTTCAGCACTGCCTCTCTTCTCCATGCTTGTTGTACGTGTCCTTCTTATTTCTTCTACTCCTGTTGCAATGACATCTTTTTATTTGCAAACTGACTTCTTCCGCATCGATTTGCTTTATCGCTTCTTAATCCTACAAATGTAAAATATATATGCTGCGTATAATTATCTATAAATATATACAACAAATGAATATATACTAACTAGTGATATTTTATTTCAGTTAACCTCAAAATTCTTAATTCGTATATTAAATGTTGAAAACAATAATGAAAAATAAATTTCTATAAGTTAATTCCATACTTGTAGGTATTCTTCATTCAAATGGTCAATGCAACGACAAAAAAGGTGAAAAACAAGTTCGAAGTAGTTGATTTCTAATATTAAAAAAACCACGCCCCAAAATATTCGAAATGAGCTTCGAATGCTTTATAAAAAAGTGTCAATTCTAATGATGTCATTGATTCGTACAAATAAACAATCACCAACCTTTTTTTCTCGAAATTTTTCGAATTATTTGAAAACGTTAAGTTCTGTCACGATGCACCACCTCGCATTTGACAGTAGCAGCCATCTTGCGGTTGTGATACGTCCGGTTAGCGCCACGTTTGAATCTTCCAATCATCGCCGTCCGCGTGCGGCCATATTTGAAATTATGACTCTTTTCAAATCGTATACTTTTCATATTTTACTTTAGTATAATCAAATCAAATAAACAAATATTTCATACGTAAATTTTCATTGTTTTGTATTTTCAACGATTGAAAAGGAAAGATGTGGGATAAAAATGTTTTAAAGATTCATCAATATGCTTGAATGATGACGCGCGCGTTCGTCTCGTGTATTATTAATATTCAATCGGATTAGGTCATTCTGGAATGATTATTTTCAACGTTATAGCAAAACTGCTTGAAAATCTCTCTCTCTATATATATATATATATATATATACACATATTAAATAAATACGATTAGTTTCGTATTGTAAGAGTTCTGGGACACCATTAATCCTATTAGTATGTTAATAAATCGGATTATGACATGACTATTTTTTTTCCACAGCGCATCATTAGTTAGCGCCAACTATAAATAACTTGGTCTTGAAAAGTAATTGTTTAATTAAATTAAAAAAAAACTTGTCGTTATCCGAAAACGGAACGAGGTTTAAGTACATTATACAAGAAAAGTATTATTTGTCGTTTACTATACAATAGTCGGGGTGAAATAATGAATTTTATTTGTAAAAAAAAGTTGTTCAACAGAACAAAACGTATAATCACAATTCGACAGTGATGTAGCGATTTCGATTAAAATTGTTTGCGAGTGTTTTTATGTATACGTGTGTGTATGCGTATATGTATTTAAATATGTTCGTGATTTCTCTACAGTATATATAGAACGTATTTTAACATGAAATATAAAACTCTCATCATCAACTATATATATCGTTAACTCTGAACATGGTCAACATATAAATATACAGTCATCACGTTTAAGTTAAATATATAGATATGAATATATATATACATACCCATACAAGTATATGTATTTATGTATATTATATACACATATGTATAATGATTTTTATAATATAATACGCGTTTTCTTACTCTCTCTCTCTCTCTCTCTCTCTCTCTCTCTCTCTCTCTCTCTCTCTCTCCCTCTCTCCTTCTTTCTTTTTCCTTTTTGTCATACGATCGTCTTCATAATATTGTATATCCCTTTTTCGTTGCTCGCATACGTATACTCAAACAGACTCATTTTTTTTTAATCATATACGCAGACGTACAACACACATGTATATATATGTATATGTATAATATTTATATTATGTATATCTCGAGGATACATCATCGCTACTACATCAATACAAAAAAGGCTTCGCTTTTCTCGAAAAATCTATTTTTTTTTTATTTTTTTATTATTTCTTTTAAATATAATCGGTTTTTTCTTTTCGTTTGTTTCGTAAGAAGAGGTGTTCTTCCATCGATTAGAAAAAGGAGAATAAAAGTAACGGACGACAATTTCGTATCGTACGTACATCGAAAAATTTATTTTTTTGGGGTTTTTAAAAATTTCCTTATCTTTTCTTTTTTCCGTTATAGTTCGTTTAATTAATAGTTTTATACACAATCACGAAGTAGAAGAGTATTTCGTTTTCACGTCGAAAGATTGATTTTTCTGTTTGTTCCTGTTCCAGCGATTTTCCTCTAAATGATTTTACGTAGAGCATTCTTTTTGGCACTTTATACGTATAAGAAAGAAATCCATTTAATTAGACTTGATGCGAATTTTCGTACGTAGGATGTTTCCTCCTGATTACTTTGGCTTTGTTTCTTTCAATCGTCGATCCAATCACGTTTTGAATCCTTAGGCCACTACCACCATCTCTCCCTCCTTCCCTCCTACGCTACCATTTTTCTTCTAAACATCTTGTGAAAAGTTCTTATCGACAGCACAAGCACCTATATAAAGTACAAGAAGTTGAAGAACGCGAGCCGAGGATTAGGAGCGAGTATCTCAGAGAAGAAGGATCCTTCTTTTCTCATTCTGTGCCTTCTTTCTCCAGTTCTTTTTCTCTTTCTCTCTCTCTCTCTCTCTCTCTCTCTGTTCTATTAGCTCTGTTTTTCACAAGAAATAATTCCTGCGAATCGTGTTCAGTCTTATCTCGTCGTCCGTGCCAATCCTTGTCACGTCATTTGGGCGGCATTGAAGCCTCGTTTTCTCGGTACCGAGAAATGTTGGGGGTTACCGATTTGAAATTGTTGAACGAACGGATTGTTTCTGAGTACGTTGCCACCTGGTGACTCAGCCGAGTATTGAGACGATGGAACGATTATGCCAGTTTGTTGAAGATATTGTTCGCGATAGAGAGCCTGTTGAGTTACGTACTCCCCGTTTAGCGGATTCTGCGATCCGTAATGAAGTTTGCTCGTTGTTTTACTAGGTATTTGATTAGCGTTGCATTCCTTGAAACTATCCTGATAACGCAAACTAGTTGGGGAGCTTCCCGGTGGCGTGACATTCTTCAAACTTTGCGTTGGACTCTGCGTTATGGATTCTAGAACGTGTCTTGGCATGTTTGGCGAGGGACAATGGGTCTCCTGAAGACCATCCACTCGATTGGCGTTTCTCATAAAAATTGGTGCACTCTCTGGCCTACCACCAACGATGTTTCGCATACCCTCGCGATCCTTAGCACTGAGACTTTGTCTCGAAGTACTCAAAGCTGAATTATGATTCCTTTCATTTGACAAGGATGCTTGATTGAGGTCCGATACGCTAGACCACGTTACGCTCGCTAACTCCCATCGACGTAAAAGATTCGATACGTGTTCCGCTCTGTTCGTCGAGTCGAGAGCCTCGTCGTAATCAGGACCCTGAAAACAAATCAAAACGAACAATGAAAGAAAAATAATTCAACTAGATTGAATCTTTTTGTTAATTTTATTATTAGACCCCATTACGATTTCCATACTATTAGATTGATGTTCTTTTTCTATTGGATTACGCTTAGGGTAAATTAATGGCGCGAACAAGACGAACGAGCTGTCGCATGAATGAACGTTGTTATTGCGACGAGTCTAAAGGAAGGTTCCCCTCGTGTTAAAAACACAAACCTCGAGGGGACACCATTTTCTCGCATGGCCTGATTCTAATATAATACGACGCTATGATAACGATTCATTATTCTAATGTAACTTACATTTTCAATTTTTTCGTCAAGCATCTTGAAGAAATCCAATTGACTGGTAGATATCTCTCTAAAAATAAAAATTGATAAAAAAAAGATAATAGCAATGATCCATTAGTTTATAAAGCAAAATGACTATTTAATAATGAAAACTCACGCTTGTTGTAGCAGTGGTCCGCTTCCAGCCGCGTTCGGTTTCTTCTTAGCTTGATTTTTAATATCGCTCGAACCATTTTGTTCTTCGTTTCTATTGACCTCGACGCCGTTGTTATTAGTTTTGTTTCCTTTGGCATTGCCATTACCGTTCTTTGGTTCGACAGACGAGCTGCCTGTCAAAATAAATAATGAAATTCACATTATTTTCACACACACATCTTTTTCATTATTTTTTCCATTTAAATTTGCCGCTTTTCCTCATTATTTCCACGCTAAACTAACTAAGTCGACAAAAGAGAACAGTTCAAAGTTCAACGATGCAACTTGTAAACAAGTTTAATCTTATCATTAAGAAGAGATTTGCAATATGAGACAGTGAAAGGAAGATGAGAGAAAAATTCGTGACATTTTACTCGATGAAAAATAGATTCTCCCTAGCAAGAGAGCGAATAGATCCAAATCCTTTCTAACTTATTCAGAAAACATTGCTTATCAAACATATTTGATGGGGGTACGTGGTGTGTGCGTTGTGATTTTCGACAAATAAATATATGAAATTTGATATTTTAATAGATAGTATGTCATTTAAAGAAAGGATGCTCTAATGCGCTTTCTCTCTCTCTCTCTTTTGCGTTCTGTTAAGTTTCTCGTTGTGATAGCATGTGCACGTGGTCGATTCATTGGCACGCCAAGCAAGAACAGAAGGAGAATGAACTCGTATTACAATGAAACGTAAATAAACCTGACAACAACGTATACGTTCTAAGTTTCTTAATCTTATTTTAGACGAAATCAAAATTGTCAAGTTTCAATATTTTCATTTTCATGTCAAGAAAAAAAAACCCCAAAATATTAAGGATTATCTCAAAAGTTCCTAAATGATTTGATACACCGATTACAAGTTTTTACAAGTTTTTCCAACGTACTTGTGTCATAGTCCCGCAATTAATTGTACATAATACAAAATAAAATACATCTGCTTTATAAAGAAGTATAAACTTGAAATAACTATTTTTCAACGTAAGTACATATAACAAGAAAGAAGTCGGAGAAGAAAGAAACGAACACATTTTTACCATTTATTTATCAAAATGCAGATAAGAATGCAGCTGTCAATGGTAAGGTAATGGTCAAAGTCTATTGTAAAAGATGCAAAAACGTATTATTATTTATCTTTATTCTTTTAAAAATGACAAAAACCGATCAATTGTTATCATAATTGTTCGCAAAGTCTCCCATTATATAACGAATGCATAAAACGAAGAAACAAAAAATAATACGTTTGATCGAGAATATTTGTTTCTTAAAATTTTCAAAATATTATTTTTATTTGGATCTTTTATCGAAGAAATTTGACGAGTTGCACGCGTTTGTTAATATCGTTCGATATCTAATCTCTTCTAGTGAATTCCTATTAAATGAAGTTACTTCGATAATATCATCGTGGATTTCATGATTCTTTAAATGCGTGCTATCCATACATGCATATGTAAAATTCAGATGCATGTATTGTATTTATATGCGTATTTACGAAGAGGCCATTCTTTGCGTAAACATGTTTAGACAGTTATATTTAGCGGATACAAACATATTACGATTATAAGCTATCGCAATTGTATTAATTGGTAATGCAATTATTACAGGGAAACGTATTTATTCAATTTCAAGAAATATTTCAATAAATACAAATGAAGATAAAAAGAAGGAAGTATTAAAATTGCCAATGTTACTTTTATCAGAAATTTCGATTGACAGCAACATTGAATATTTTTACATTTGTATTTATAGCAATCGTATAATTGATTAAATATTTAATAATTAATTGTATTTGTTCTCTCTCTCTCTCTCATGCATTTTTTTGTTTGTTATCTGCCAATAAAAATGACGTACAAGCGGATATGAACGTTTCCACCTGATTGTGAGATTCGCTACTAACATAGTGAAATAAAGTGAATCCGAATAATGAAATCACGGAAACGCGTAACGAGTATGGAAATCTAATCGATCGATCATGATACAAAAACGAACGGCCACTGATTCGCAGATTCAATATCGGCATTTCAATTTCAATTACGGAACTGAACTAAAGTTTCCCAAAATGGTATTTTTACGATTAAAATGAAAGAATAAAAATAGTAACCCAGAAAGTTTTTTGATTCACAAATAGTATCGTCATTTGTCTATCGATTCGATAAAACACTTCTTCAATGAGAACAGTTACGAATTGTTCGAATTGGTATTGACTGCATTACTCGATACACACAACTCCCATTATAGATTTACAAATGGCGTAACACACAAGCAAGGATTAATGTCCAAGTTTTAAAACGCGAACGTGACTTTTGTCACTTAAATAAATTTTATTTGAAAAAATGATCCCGTAAGAAAAATAACCTAGAAAACAGTATAGACAACAGCGTTACCTAACATTGTCTGATCTTTTCTACTTAATTAAACTACGCCCTTGACTCGTACTTGCGTATTTTACGAACAAAGACATTACAAGGGATTCGAATAACAGAACTCGTGCTTCTCCTGTCGTGTCAGCAAAAAACGTCTTTTTTTCCTGAAGAAACTCAAAAGTTTCTTTGCTGATTCAATATAACTCCATTTTCTGATTCCATCGCGTTGATAATATCAAAGTCTTCGATCAATATAAAAAAACAGCAAAATAAAAAACCTTCACTCGACATTCGATATTTATCTAATATTTTGATTTGTTATCACAGAAATCGATATGTTTATTGTTTTGACGATATATTTCAAATTTTCGCGAATCGTTTTCATTTCGACGAGAATAATACTATCACTGCAACACAGTTGAAACGAGTTAGAAAACGTTTCTTGGGAAATATTTCCTCGACAAAATTAGAATTCATTTTTGTTGAATAACTTTGACATTTTTTCGTGCACCTTGTATGCACCTTGTATGCACATACGTGCATAATTTACATTAAACAGTTCTTATCTATCTTACGTGGAAGCGTCAAATTCATTTGTATTATCTTTATATCATATAAACGCATTCGTTGCAAATTTACAGATAACAGAAATCGCATTTTCAATATGCCTTTCTCATCATATTTCTTTATATTCGAGTTTTCATCATTTTCACGATTACCTTGCGATAAGCTTCTATATGATTTTATTTCATTCGATATATCAAGTATTATCGTGGTCTAATCAATTTATTATTATTTATCGAAATGTTACGTTGATCAATAAGAAAAACTTTCATTCCTTTTTTCAAACAAATGTTTCAATAGTTTGATCGAAAACAAATTGTTTCTATGCTAAGCTCCAAACTTTGAAACCCTCTTAAAATTCGACAAATATTGTTTATTATTCTATTGTTCTATTATTAACATTATTAATAATTATTAATTCATTCTACAAATATTTCTACTATTTCCTGTTACCTAAACTTTCTATTAGATTCTAACAAAACTAATCTCCCCCTCCCCCAAAAAAGAAGAAAAACAAAAAAAAAAAAAAAAAAGAAATCATAAAATATTCGTCTACGAGCATCGCGTATAATATTTTTCTAAAACATCTTGCAGACCTAAAATCCAAAATCAAAAATTGGAATAATATCTGAGAATACACGAAGAAAATTGATATCTCTTGAAATTAATTTGCAGATAAAATAAAAAGAAAGAAAGAAAACGAAGAGTATTTAGAATTTCATTCACTCCCCCATTGGTTTTTGATAGTACTTCTCACTCCTTGGCATCATGCCGAAGGTCAACACATACGTATTTACATACGTATTTAAATACATATACATTTATAAATATATCTATTTACGTATAAGCATTAAATATGTATCGTCTATATGCACATGATTTGGAAATACCTCCAGACGCCTACACGCGATGGATGCCAACATTTTATCTGATTATATATTCAGTATATTTACTCAAATTTACATATCAATATTTTATTTTATAACGATTTAACATCATTTTTTTTTTTTCCAATGATCATTAGATATTGTAGCGATCTCTTTTTATTAACCAACGAGATGAAATAAATTCAAGGTTAAAATCATGATAAGATATATCCAAATCTTAGACAATAATCGAGACAAATAATCCTAAAGGAGATGTTTCTGTGATCCTTTTACACGTACATTAATGCAATTTCTATTTATATACGTATATGTTTACACGTAACCGAACACGTAGATAAATTAGACTACGTACATAAATTTAGAACTAGTGCAAATAAACAGATTCAAAAGCGAAAGTCGAAGACGCGCGAACGGTGTATTCTTCTTCTTCTTAACAATTTCAAGTGAACGATTAGGGGATCTCTTTGACACTTGTCGTGTGTTGTCGCTGTCAATTTTAATGCAATTGCATATAAATGTATGTACGTATGTATATGCTCGAGATAGTTAGGCATGTATTTTGTGCATATACGAGTTGGCGAGCACGTTCTACCGTGGCTGGTGCACGCGATAAATATGTCGAGGACATGTGTGATTGCATGGGAACGAAAAGTCAGATGAATTCTGATGTCCTCTGTGCACAGAGAGAAATATGTATATAGAAAATAATAAGTAGAAATTTCACTTGTTTTTTTTTCTCTTGTGTTCATTTGTCAAATATAAATTCTTCAAATAATTGTTCTTATCTTCATTTCACAACGGAAAAGATAGTGAAAATACAATTCGTGCGCATTGAATGCATTAGCGCGCGCGCGCGCGATTTTCCTTTCGAAATAATATTTTTCTGTAGACAAAATATTGAAGAATATTTCGTAGAATTTAGATGTCAGTGTTTTTGATACGTTCGTCGATAATATCATAAACTTTGACCACGTCGTCCATAACGGTATTAAAATGAGACAAAATTCAACGGAGATCTTTGCGCAGACGCGACACGCCAATTTCTAAACCATCGACGCCTTTGCCCTGCACTTTGCCCTGCACTTTGCCCTGCACTTTGCAATGCACTTTTGCATGCAAATTTTGTTCTCTGAAAAAATCTTGAATTGAAAGAAAGTTGGAGAAGAAAGTTTGACCGTGCACGATATCCGCATTATCGGTAGGCGCATATAGGTGCATTTAAATGATAACTCGATTACACACACCTTTACCAAACTCATTTAAGGCATAACGTTCTATCCTTCTCTTTCTTTCCGGTGACGTTAACAATCGTCGCGTATC